AGAGACGGGGACACTTTTCTGTGGTAGGCGTGTGAAATGGCAGGGCCTGTGCGAAAACCAGACGGACCGATCTCATGCTGTTGAACGTGGCAGGAACACACGCTTCGCTGCTGAATAGGGAAGACACGTCAGCAGCGCCGCACATGCAGCCCTGCCCAGCCATGCTCAGCGCGATGCACAGCAGCCAGAAGGGAAACGATCGGAATGCCAGCTGAACGTATGCTCAAAATGTGGTGTAGATAGAATGAACCTGACTCCTACCCCATGAAGAGACATGAGATCCTGATGCATGCAACAGCATCTACATCACCCTGATACAGACATTCTGAATGAAGTCAGCCAACCGCAAGGGGACAAGTATTATGCCACCTCACTTATATGACCTATCTAGAATGCAGATCCCAAAGTTTTATCAATGGCTACAATGGGCAGAAGGAAGGATGAAAAGGTGTGCCACTGCTGGGGAAGCAGTGAGTTCTTGTGTATAGGGATGGGAAATCTGGCATCAATTATGATGGAGGTTGCTCAACATAATTAATGTCACTAAATTAAGCACGTGAAAAACATTGAATTGTCAAGAAAAAAAAAGCCTGCTGCTTGATTTCCATAGAAAACTCCAAAACCAAATTCACTGCCACTTGAGTTGATTCTGACCCTTAGCGACCCCATGAGGCACAGTAGAATTGCCCCTCTGGGTTTCTGAGACTTTAATAGCCGATGGTGCAGACAGCCTCATCTCTCTCCTTTGGAGAGGCTGGTGGGTTTGAACTGCTGAGTTTGAACTAGAGCTAGCAGCTCAAATGTGTAGTGCAGTATGGCACCAAGACCCTGAGTTTCCATAGACTTGCGAATTTTCCAATTTTAGTACTAACTGTGGATTGTTTATCTCCAGAATTATTTTATGGAAAGATGTAGAATGAAAAATGTCAGAATGTCAAACTGATCATTCGGAAGTATTTAAAATCCCCCCCCAAAGTACAGGAAGGTACTTTCATATCTATTAGAGACCCCACGTGGTGAGGCCAATTAAAAGAGAACCTACATTATACTCTATTGCTGAACTGTTGACATTAGTGTTTGACTCCGCAGCGCTTTACTTTGCCTTCAGTGATTATAACTCAGAAATTAAAAATCATAAGTGCTCTGAAATGAAAAGCATTGGTGAGCAAGGCAGCAAGATGGCGTAGTTGTGACACTCCCACATATGGTTTCATGTTCATCTTTCACAGGTGATTTTATGACATCCCATGAGGAACCCTGAGGTGCAGCGGGTAAGCACTGGGCTAACAGTGAGGCCGGTGAACTGAATCTACCCAGCTCCTCGGGGCCAGAAAGATCTGATGATCTCCTGAAAAGATTCACTGCCAACAGAAAAGTGGGTGAAGGGAGACAGCGGTCAGTGTAAGACATGAAAAAATAGTAATAATTTATAAATTGTCAAGGGTTCATGAGGAAAGGAGGGTGGAGGAGGGAGGGGAAAAATAGGAAGCTGATACCAAGGGTTCAAGTAGAAAGCAAATGTTTTGAACATGATGATGGCAACAAAGGTACAAATGTGCTTGACACAACAGATGGATGGATGGATTGTGATAAGAGTTGTACGAGCCCCCAATAAAATGATTTAAAGAAAAAAAAATTCACTGACATCAAATCAGTGTGACTCATAGCGACCCTGTAAGACAGGGTCGAACTGCCCCTGTGAGTTTCTGAGATTATAACTCTTTACTGGAGTAGACAGCCTTGTTTTTCCTCCCTAGGCGTGGCTGGTGGTTTTGAACCGCTGACCTTGCAGTTAGCAGCCCAACATGTACCAATGACCCCTGGAAAGATTACAGCCTAAAAACCCCATGAAGCCATTCTACTCTGTCATGTGGCTTCACTATGAACCAGGGTGAACCTAATGGTGCCCAATAAAAAGTTTAATCATATCTGCGTAGCATGTATTCTTTGAGGAGAATTGTGGCAAGTCATGGATACAATTTAAGTTGTTCTTTGATTCATTTATCTTCTTTCTTGTTCTCTTGCATTTGATGAAACTATTGAATTCCATAAATTAAGGAAAATCACTTGCTACCGGGAGATCTTGTCAAGCTGTGGTCACCATGACAGGCAAGGAGGTTCTAGAACTCACAAGGAATGTTCTCATGTTGCTAAGCTGTGTAGTGTGTCTTACCAACCAGGGAGCCTTCTGGGCTCCTTGGAGGGAGAGTAACTTTTGGAAGCGTTAGACACTAGACTGTGTCTGCCAATGAAAATTTCCAGATCAAGTGCAAGGATTTAAGGAAATCAAAGAAAAGTCAGTCTACACCCACGACAAGGTCTCTACCAAGTTTTGGTTCCTGCCATCCAGATCCCATGCTGTCCTCAGGTACAACTTTTAATTCATCATTAGTATAATTTTGAAACTGTTAAGTATACTTTAGTGAGTGGACTTCAAATTCCTCTCCTTTGCAATTCCATGTGAAAGTAAAAAAAAAGAAAGTTTGTTTTAAGAAAATGGAGTCTGAATTTTGAAAGCAAATCACCATTTTAAGGGGAACATGCAAATAAAATAGATTGAGTTTCTAGATAAATATGGTTATTCTGTGGAAAACATTTCGTTTGCATTTAACCAACAGTTATTGAGCATGTCCTGTGTGAGGGCCCCTGCTCTGGGTGAGAACGGGGCTATGTCCTTGTCTTCTTGAGAAGAGCAGGAATAAACAAAGTGAGTTTTTTAAATGCTGTAGAGTGATGCCTGCTGCCAGGGAGGGGGTGGGGGGAGGGCTCCAAGCTGAGACGATAGTGGGTCCGTGTTCAGAGGAGGCGGCCTTTTGGAGAGGTGTCATGGAGACAGAGAAATGGAGTGAGGGAGGGATGCATGGGAAGCTTCTGAGTGGAGTGCATGCTGGGCTGGGGCTCTGCAGGTGCACGGTTCCTCCGTATTTTCCATGTCAGGTCTCACCTGGGATTCATAGCAACATTCGTCTTGTTTTCTTTTCTTTTTTTTAAAAACCCCATCCCCTCATTTTCACTAATTAGACAGTGCGTTTTCTCTTTGTAAGCATTGCTTTTAACATATGTGCTATTTTTAAAATTAATTACTCATTTAAAATTTTTCCTTTTGTCTTCTATATATGGGTTACTTCAGGCAAATGCATTCATATTTAAGATGCAGTATTTTATAAGATGCCCATGGTATTTTGCAAGTGGCAAGTTGTAATTAAGACTAGGCAGTTTAATTTAAAACAAACAAACTTGTTGCCATTGAGTCGATCCTGCTCACGGACACCCCGTGCGCCGACTACCCCACAGGGCTCCCTTGGCTCTAATCTCGGCGGCAGCAGAGTGCCAGGCCTTTCAGTGGGGCCACCAGATGACACCCAACCTCAAGATGAGCAAGCGAGTGTAAACCATTTGCTCCACTCAGGGGCCCTGGTGGATTAATACCTCGTTAATTTTTAAGCCAGGGGCCTTAGATGGATGAATGATTTTTTTTTAAGTCCCATATCTTGAGTATTGTCCTACTTTAAAACACTCAAATATATTTTACTCCGCCTAGAATAACATTGGCTCTTGTGGCACAGAAGGTTAAGCACTGGGTTGTTAGCTAAGAGGTTGCTGGTTCAAACCCACAGGAGAAAAGCATACGTTTATGGCAGCAGCAGTGCTGATGGTTTATACACCACACATCCTGAATATATGCGAGAAAGCTTCAAAGAGTGTGTGGAAAATCCCATTATTTTAAAATTCTATTTGTCCGTGAACTTTTTGAAGGGCCCTCATACTATAAACTCTTTTTTTTAATTTTGTTTTTTACTTAAGTAGGGGTTTTCCCACTGCCGTTGAGGTGGTTCTGACTCGCAGTGACCCTATAGGATAGAACAGACCTGCCTCATGGGGCTTGAAAAGCTGCACATCTTTGCAGAAGCATAATCTTTTTCCCGGAGTGATGGTGGGGTCGCACCGCCGACCTGTTGGCTAGCAGCCCAAAACCGGAACTACTGTGCCACCAGGTTTCCTGAACACTCTGGTCTAAAAAATAGTCCGTGCACTAAAAATATCTCTCCAGCCAACAAAATCTTGAGATCTATTTCTAGAATATAATATTTTGCCACTGGAAATTATTCTGACCAAACAAACAACCCTCACCCTTTTGGAAATCAAAGGTGTATCTTCCTGTCCTGCTGCAGTGAATGTTTCCATGTAAGATAGCATGTACACAACAAACAATAGCAAAACATCCTTCTTAAGAGCTTGAAAGTAGTAGATGGTCTTCAAGAAAATGTAAATAACTCTTCCTAATGTTCTTACTTCAGAAAGTGTTGTTCCCTACAATGCTGTGAATTCTTTAATTGCCATAAACCGCCTAGGCCAATGACACTGTAGGTCTCCAATAAACATTTACTCAATGACTAAAATAGCATTATTAAACACTGCAAACAGCATGCCCAACGTCCTCCGGTTTATCATCTGTAGACATATTCTTTTACGACTGGCCTTGGTTTTCCCTCTAGGTTTTACCATCGGCTCTGAAGGTGATACAAATTTCAAAACCTGGGTTTCTTTTAGTTTTATTTTTAATTTTTAAGGTACCGTATCAAAGGTCCTCATTTAAATTTACCTCAATGCAAAGGATATTTGTGGGTGTAGTATTTTAAAACCATCATTCAAATTGACTATATAAAAATGGATGATTACTGTGGCATGTGTTTTTGTGGTGTAAACCAATCAAGTGACCCCCAAAGGCAATTAAGTATAGAACTTATTTTAGGTTTCTCACAGATGTTTTGTTTTCCAGAGGAAATTTTTTTACTGTTTCATCCTGTGCCTGTAGTGATTTCAAAGATTACAAACGTTTGTTCTGAAAATAAAAGAGTTTCCCGTGACGTTCATGAGAAACATGTGCAAAGCAAGAAGACAGAGCACGTTTGCTGTATACGACAATGTCAAGAACCTCTTGCCAGGACTCTGTTCTCTGATTGCAGGGTCTGGCACATCCGGAAGTGAGGCTGATCAAGATGATAGAGTCCAAGACGTTTTGTGGTAGCAGGGAAGAGAGGCAAACCAGCACCCCGCTGAGCTTGAACCTCAAACCCCTGACGCCGGGTCTACAGTTTGAGAGAAAGGACAGCTCTGGTCTGACTAGAAATGGAAGCTGTTTTCTAGTCAGGCATACGCCTCATCCCAGAAGAGTCTGCCACATAAAAGGTAAGGTGCTTCAAAGGTCGAGTGTGTCTTCCTCCTCCATGCTCAGTCGGTTTGATGGCTCCTGTCGGGGAGCACAGAGGTGCTCTCCCCCAAATTGAACACTCGTGGGACACCGAGGTCAGAGCAGAGGACTGTAGGCCCTACTGTGAGTGCGTATCCACCATGGCCTGCTTGATTGTCAGGCCAGGGACTGGGGGAGGAGCTGCTGTGTCCAGGGCAGTGTGGCCCCACAGGGTGCTCCGGACCACAGCCACCTCATGCACTGGTATGGAGATGTTTAACTAGCACGACCATGTTAGCATGGGCATGTTCTGTAAAAGCCTGGAGAAGTAAGTATTTCCCCCTCTCTCCTCCCCGTCCCCCCTGGAGCTCCCTTCTTTTCTTCATTCTTCCCCACTCCCCTTGGTTTTTACTTGAACTTTATCCAACAGACTTCTTAGAAATTAAAGTCGACACCAGTGGCAGTAGCTCCCCTTCAGAGAGAGGCAGTTCCACTTGGCTCAGAATGGCACCCTAAGAGGCACACACAACTCCCGGGCATGCTGGTTGCCAGAGAAAGCCAAACAACAAGTCGCTAGAAGAGCCCACACTGCTGATGCTGACCAGTAGCCTCTTCACGTGTATGACGTACAGGGGAAGCAAGTCAGGCCATTGGTCTGGGTGGAATAACCCAGCCAGTTCCCCGGGGCTGGGTAAACCTGTGTGACCCCCCTCGTAGAAGAGCAGTACCCAAATCACCTGTTGGGCGCAATCCAAAGATGCCCTCGAGGAATCTCTCTCAGTCTTACTCCTAAGGGGGAGCTGGCACTTCTGAAATGAGAATTGGCTTCCACAATGACTCCAAGGAACAAAGGACATGTGCTGTCAGAAAGAAATGTGTCGGATTGAGGAAGGAACTTGATGATGAGCCTGAAAACCCGTCGTGATAAAACTGCACCTCCCTTTGTTGAAAGAAAGACAGTCTCACAACGAGACGGGAATGAGGCGGTTACCACATGTGTCCAGACAAAACAGGACAAACATCCCTGAGATGTTGCCAGCCATGGAACTAAGCAATGGCCAAAACAAGACTTGAGGCAGTCTGTCCAGAAAATGTGGAAAGGTCTTGTTAAATGACTTAGTACAGAGCATTAGGAAGAGGAAGCAGTCAAAGAGAACATCCTATTGACTGGTCCCCTCACCCCCAGCTACGCTGTCTGTCTACATGTTGGTAGCTTTCTGATGACAGAGGGCAGTGAAAAGTGGAAACAATGGGGTCCTTTCATCAGAATGTATTCCGCCAGTCGATATTTATTTATTCAGCCTCTAATACATACTAGCCTCTCTTCTAGACATGATAGTGACAATAGAGAAGAAAAAATAAATCCTTACCCGGACAGAGCTTGAATTCTAGATAAATAAACCCGTTCAATGTTTCAGGTGCTGTGATACCACGCATTCAAAGGAAAATCAGCTAGCTGCCCACAAGTGGTAATCCGGATCTGCATCTTAAGTGGGATGCTAGGAATATAGACGTATATTTTGAGTCAACAATATTATTATTATTGAACATCTCTGTATTCACTCAGTCATCCAACCATCCACCCGTCCATCCACTCTACAGACTACTCTGTCCAACAGGGTCATTAAACCCAGAACCGACTGGGTGGCAATGGGTTTTGCTGTGTTTCTATCTTGTGGAAGGCCCTCCATCACTTCACAGCCGTAAGAGATGTTTCTGCTCATCCTCCAAGCCCCATTCAGCCCACTCCTGCCCAGCCTTTCTCCCACGATTCCATATAAACGGAATTTTCTAAGTTTACTGCTGTCCTCAATTTTGAAAAATTCAATGATCATCTCTCATTAAGGGTGCTCATGGTGGCAAGTGAGAAAAATCAAAACTGGCTTGTTTAACCAGGCTTTGTTGACTCCGGTAACTGGAGAGCCCAGCAGTCAGCGGCCTTCAAGTTTGATTTGATTGGACGCTCATCGATCTGCCTTTCAAAATGTCAGCCTCCCGCTGGAGTTGGCTTGCCTCCTTCATCGGAGCAATTTGGTTGTGGGGGGTTTTAGGTTCACATCCGCATGTCACACCGATTTCTCTGGAAGATTCCAGCAAAACCCTCATCACATTTCGTGGTGCGCATCAAATCACATGATCATCTTTGAACACATGTCTGCGGCCAGGGCAACATCATGCATGAATGAGTAGATCATGGTTCGGATAATGGCAAACACACAGCTGCCCTGAGCGTGAGAGGGATGGATCACCACCCTCACTGCCACTGACTCCATCCCAGTTGCAATCACAGCCCCTGCGTGTTTCCTGGCTGTGACCCATGAAGAGAGCAGAGACATCATCACGCTCGCACACCGCAGCTGGTGGCTGCAAACGACTGGCCTTGCTGTTAGCAATCCAACTCACAACCTACTGCATTGTCAGCGCTCCCTGAGGGGCAGAAGATAGGAAGAGAAAAGAACACAATACGTGGTTCCTATTAGGAAAGGGAAGGAAGAAAGTACAATGGGCAGAATGGGCCAAGACCCCTCCCTCCTATAACAGTGACGTGCCGCTCGGTCCTGTGCGTTTTTCATGATCATTGCTTTGTTCAAATCCATTGTTGCTTCCACTGTGTATTTTGAGTGCTTTCAAACCTCTGGGCCTCAACTTCTGGTACCACAGCTGATAATATGCTGTTGTGACCCATGTGATTGTCATTGGAGGGACCCTGGTCGCTCAGTAGTTAAATACTCAACTGCTAGGCCAAAGGTGGGCAGTTCAAACCCATCATTTGCTCCTCTAAAGAAGGTGAGTCTGCTTCCATAAAAATTAACCAAAAAACTAAAATCACTACCACTGAGTTGATTCTGACTCATAGTAACACTGTAGGACAAGGTAGAACTGCTCTTGTGGGTTTCCGGGATGGGAGTAGAAAGCCTCGTCTTTCTTCTACCGAGTGGCTGGTAATTTTGAACTGCTGACCTTGCAGTCAGCAGCCTGATGCATAACCACCACACCACCAGCGCTCCTTCCCATAAAGAGTACATCCTTGCAAACCCACAGCAGTAGTTTAAACTGTCCGAAAGGGTTGCTATGAGTTGGAGTTGATTCAACAGCAGTGAGTTTGGTTTCTGTGACATTTTCAGAAGTAAATCACCAGGCCTTTCTTCCTAGTCTGTCTCTTTCTAGAAGCTCTCCTGAAACCTGTCCACAGTGGGTGCTCGAAATGCGAGTGGCATCGCCTCCAGTGACGTAGCAGGACACAAGTCACCATCATACAGCAAACTGAGTGGGAACAGCTGCTGCTGCATCAGCTCCCATTCTGTTGACCCCAAAGGTCACATCAGACTCTTCTCCACAGGGTTTACAGTGGCTGTGATGTAAAAAGTCAAACCCTTGAGGCACCTCTGGGTGGCCTTGCATCTCCAACCACCAGCCTTTTACTGATCTGCTGCCACCCAGTGACTTCATATTCACTCTCTAAAATAGGAACAACCATCATTGATTCGTCTTCTCATTGATTCTGACCCATAGAAGCCAGACGAAAATGTGATCTGGTCAGCTAATCTTTTTCCCTTGCTCATCTAGGTCTGAATAACATCCCTATATGCACTGTGAATGATGATGACAATCCATCCAGAATCTTCTACGGTGTTGGTCACCTGGAGGAGGAAGCACCATTTGCCAGAAGCAGCTACTCAGCTAGCAGTGCCGTGGATTGCCCTGTCCGAGGAGTCTCGCCTGCCCCGCGCTCTGTGAAAGTGCCCCCACGGCCTCATCCCGGTGAGCCTCCCAAGTGATCACACCTCTTCAAACAGCTGGGGTGGGGAGGGCGATTTACTGGATCCCGAGAATAGCTGCAGTAGTTTCCAAATGATGTTGTCGTTGTTAGCTGCCATCGAGTCAGTTCCAACCCTACCCACAACAGAAGGAAACACTGCACGGTCCTGGACCACCCTCAGAATCATTCCCTCTGCATGAGCCCAGTGGTGCCACCATCTCCTTGAGGGCCTTCCTCTCTGTTGCTGCCCCTCCACTTTACCAAAGACACCGTCCTTCTCCAGGGACTGGTCTCTCCTGACAACATGTCTAAAGTGTGTGAGATGAAGTCTTGCCATCCTTGTCTCTACGGAGCACTGTGGCCGTATTTCTTCCAACACACATTGATTTGTCCATTTAGCAGTTCAGAGTACTTCCAATATTTCAGTTGCCAAATAGTCAACACGATTACTCATTGTGAAATAAGACTATTCAGTATAACAACGTTTCACTCTTAATCTTAATTCTCATTCCTAACTCCTACAAGGCTCTAAAAGAGTATGTTTAGCCAACATTGATGTTTAGACAAAGAGTGTGCCCAGGAAACTCAATAGGGCTGGGATTCATGCTTCCATTGTTCCTACTGGAATATGAACTACTTAAGGGCAGGCCCAAGTGCTTTTTCCTTCTGTGCCTTTTGCCATCCTTGATATTTCACCAAGTGCTAGCCTACTGCCTGGTCCCGAGTAAGCAATTCAATGAATGTTAATGGAATTGAACTGCAATGGACAAGGTAGTACAGAAGAAAGAAAATCTGGATTGTAGAAATTTTATCTAGATTTCCTCGGTCCCCTATGCTGTATGAACCAAATACTGTCACACTGAATCTGACTCATGGTGATCCATGTTTGTCAGTACAGAACCGTGCTTCATAGGGTTTTCAGTGGCTCATCTTTTTCAGAAATGACCAGATCTTTCTTCTGAGGTGCTTCTGGGTGGACTTGAATACCCAACCTTTTGGTTAACAGGTGACCATGATAACTCTTTGTGCCACTTGGGTACTCCATGCTAAAAGTCCTAGGACAGATGAAAATGTTTTGTTTTTTTAATATAATGAGGTTAAATATGTATCTTTCTAAAGACAGCAGTCTTTAGATGTAGATGACACAACCTTGTGTGCTGAAAGCGAGGAAGACTTGAGGCATTCACTGATGAAGATAAAAGATTGTGGTCTTCAGTATGGATTATAGCTCCATGTAAGATCAAAACTGGACCAATCGGTAATATAACGATAAATGAAGAAAAGGTTAAAGTTGTCAAGGGTGTTGTCTTGCTTAGATCTACAATAAATGCTCATGGAAGCAGCAGTCAAGAGATCAAAAGACTCATTGCATCAGGTCAATCTGCTGCACAAGACCTCTTTAGAGTATGCAAAAACAAGGAGGTTACGCTAAAGACTAAGGTGTGCCTGACCCAAGTCATGGTATTTCAACCGCCTCATATGCATGTGAAAGTTGGACATCGAACAAGGAAGACTGAGGAAGAATGGATGCATTTGAATTGTGGAGCGGAGCTGGAGAAGAAAATATAAAGTCCCATACTGTTAAAAGGACAAACCTATCTTCATTGTAAAAAGTACAGTAGAGTACTTCTTAGAGGGAAGGATGGGGAGACTTTGGACATATTCTCAGAAGAGCCCAGTCCCTGGAAACAGACATCATGCTTGGTAAAGTAGAGGGGCAGCGTAAAAGAGTAAGGCACTGGAGGAAATGGGTTAATGCATGGCTGCAATACTGGGCTGCAGCGTGGGAACACTTGTGAGGATGGTGCAGGACTACGTAGTGCTTCATTCTGTCGTGCATAGGGTCACTATGGGTAGGAACTGACTCCATGGCACCTAACAACAACAAAAACAACAGTTACAGTGATCATTTACAGAGCACTTACTAGCTGACCAAGAGAGAGAAGAGGCTTTTTACTCCCGTAAACAGTTACAGACTGGCACCCCTAAGGGCAAGTCTACTCTGTCCTATAAGGACACTGTAAGTCAGAATGGATTCTATGGCAGTGAATTAGTTGTTTGGCTTTACTATGTGACAGACAGACATGATTGTGTGACCTTCATATTGATCAGCTCATTTCACCTTCTTCAGAGCTCCTCTTCTCATCGTTCCATAAATAATTAAAAGCTAGCTCTTTTATCTCATCTTTCTGGTGCTCCCTCTTGCACTGCAAACTAGAAACTTAAAACATATTTCTTACAGTTACTTAAAAGTAAGGTCCAAATGAGGATTAAATGTAGCAACTTAGTAAGATTTAGATGAAACGTGTGGGACCAAGGTCATCTATTTGTATTGCTTTCTGCTGTTGAATGCAATGGTGAGATATGGAATTTTCTTGCTACAATATCCTAATGTCCAAATTATGAATTTATAGATGTCAAAAGGCAGGGTCATCTTATGTGGTAGTTTTCTCATTTCAGTAGCAATCCATACCTCACCTTTCAAACAAAAACTAAACTCACAGCCGTCGAGTGGATCCCAACTCATAGTGACCCTATAGGGCAGAGAAAATCTGCTCCTTGGGGCTCCTGAGATGTTACATCTTGACAGGAGCCTCATACTTCTTCCAAGGAGAGACTGGTCCTTTCAAACCACTGATCTTGTGTTGAGCAATTCAATGCAGTCCACGGAACTACCAAGACTCTTAATCTCTAGAGTCTTGGATATTGATAATAATTTAAATGGGAGTAGCCTCCTGGCTCCCCTTCTCAATTTTGGCAAAAGCACATTCTCTCTCTTACACACGCATACACACACCCCACCCCACCGCCCCCACACACACTCTTGGTAGACCAGGTCCAGTGAGTTGTTCTTGGAATCATTTATGAAAGTCAGGACCAGATTTCACAACTCAAGCCCTTCCAAGAGTGCTATTGTCTGCCCTGAAGTCCAACTCATAGAGCCTGCATGGTGGAGTAGAAATGCCCCACAGGGCTTCCTCGGGTGTGATCTTTATTGAATACGATCAGCAGGTCTTTCTTACAGATTCAACCACCCACTTCTCAGTTAGCCATCTAGCACTAAATATTAGACTTCCAGGACTTTTTCCTCAATGAGAGAACAAAGATCTAACCTACGGCCTTATTTTCCTTTCTGCTTAAAAAATAGCTAGACTGCTTTCTCTTTCCCACAAGTGAACATTAACTTGACAGACTCAATCCTCATAAAGTTGTTCTCACTACTGAGAGGCAACTCTACGCTTTATTTCTATATTTTTGTTCAGCCAGAGATATGTGTTCCCTTAATTGTGAAGCATGGCTTCAGTAAAGGGGATAGCAGCACTTACACAAAGTATATCTTAGGGCAATGTAAAGGTATATTTAGGCGGGGCTATTTTAGGAGGATTTTGGAGTCCTTGGGTGGTGAAAAGTGATCTTGCTTGCCTGTTAAGTGAAAGATTGGCTGCTGGCGTTCACCCACTGTCACCTTGAAAGAAAGGGCTGGTCTGTTTCTGACAAAGCGGCCATTGAAAGCCACACACACAGCGGTCATGAACAGGAATAGATTTGATGGGAATTTTTTTCTTAAGTTAAATGACAAGTATAAACTAGGTAAAGTTTAGAGGCTGATGAAATAAGAAAGAAAGTAGCAATGATGAAACATATAACTTTCCTCTAGTTCTTAAATGCTTTCCCACCCCCACTATCATGATCCCAATTCTACCTTACAAATCTGCCTGAACCGGAAGATGTGCACTGGTACAGATAGCAACTGGAAACACAGGGAATCCAGGACAGATGACTCCTTCAGGACCAGTGGTGAAAGGGGCGAGGCCTGGAGGGTAAAGGGAATGTGGGGTGGAAAGGGGGAACCGATTACAAGAATTGCCTCCTCCTTGGGGGAGGGACAGCAGAGAAGAGGGCAGGGAAGACGTTGGACAGTGTAACTTATGACAAAACTATAATAAGTTGTGAATTATGAAGGGTTCATGAGGGAGGGGGGAGAGGGAGGGGGAAATGAGCAACTGATATTAAGGGCTGAGATGGAGGGCAAATGTTTTGAGAATGATGAGGGCAGCGAATGTACATATGTGCTTGACACAATGGATGGATGTATGGATTGTGATGAGAATTGTACGAGCCCCCAATAAAATAATTTTTTAAAAAGTAATTATCACCCAGCATACATCTCTTTTCTTCGACAGGGAAAACAGCATACACACAATCTCTTTAATTAGCGAAGGTGAGAAAGTGACAGTTACATGGGCAGGGACAGAAAACCTTGTCTTAGACTGCAATGTGTTTTTTTATCATGCATTTAACCAGATGAAAACACTTGCAGTGGGTTTTTTTAAATATCATTTTGCTGGGCATAGAAGTGTTTATATATAAGATACATTAAGACATATATGTTTATCTATGTAGTATGCATGTACTTTTGTTATTCTGCTACTGGACTGAAAGTCTCCCTGTGAGTTTCCTTATCTTTACAAACAAATCTCTGAGTTGACCTAAATATAAATGCAGCATCTATTTTCTCAATGATTTCAGCAGCTAGCATGTATTTCATGTGATAGCAATTCTTTCTTTCAGATTGATTGCAGTATGCTTTCCCTCCATTTCATTTCAGAGCCCTATAAAATAATCAAGGAGTGCTTCAAAACTTCCCATGAGAATCCCTTAGTAATTAAAAAGGTAAAAACCCAGCTATTTGTATCTATCGTTGTACTTTTACTTCTTAACTTTCCTTTCCTTTTGGTCACATACCTTTTTGAAAAGTCATTATGTTTGGCTGGATTTTCTAGAGAAGCAAATCCCATGATACTTAAATGTGTATACATAGAAAGAACATCATATTAAGAAAGTAGCTACAGAGTTGTAGAATCAGAATAGCCCAATCCAGTTCTAGTCTGTAGGTCAGATGGTAAGCTGGAAGCTTCTCCTGACTTGTGCTGCTGAGGAACCAGGAAGATGAAGAAGATAGGCTGGTGGATGCAAAGTCAAATGAACCCAAGGTCCAAGTCTGATGATGCCCCCTAAGATCAGTAGACAATATGGCAGGGTGTCAATGAACCAGATACAGGAAGCAGACTGAGAAGAAGTGATAAGCTTTCCCATAGAGTTTGCTAAAAGGGAGTGGGTCACACTCCGAAAGAGTCTTTCTTCTCATTGCATTAGGGCTTTGACCTGATAAAGAGGGCCAAACCACGTCACAACTGCTGACCGCTGCTCACAGAGTTGCTTACATTATGCTTGATCCCATCATGAAGCTGATTACATTGTCTTAGATCATACCATGGGGGATTACTGTGAGACTAATGAGAACCCTGACCTAACCAAGTTGCCAAAAATTCTGTCACTATGGTTTATAAAATTTAAAATAGTTGTATAAGGTATGTTGTGCCTTATAACTTACTCAGAGTGATGTTATAGGATAGTGTAGAACTGCCGCCATAGGTTTTCCTAGTCTGTAATCTTTATGGTACAGATTGCCAAATCTTCTCTCTCGTGAAGCAGCTGGTGGCTTGAACTGCTGGGATGTCCATTAGGATCGAAACCCTTAACCATTTGTGCTATCAGGGCTTTTTGTTAATGTATAAACTGCATGTTTAAAGTGGACAACATGATGAATTTACACACACACACACTCAGGAAACTACCACTCAAACCGAAAGAACAAACACATTCACCACTCCCCAAAGCATTTCCTGATTCTTTACAATATCTCCCTCTAGACTCTGCTTCTTCTCACTATAGATTAGGATGCAATTTTTAGAATTTAATAAAAATAAATTTATAGAGTTCTCTCTTTTTTCAGTATGTTTCCTTTACATCATACAATTAGCCTCTAAATAAAATATAGTTTTATTTTCACTAAATAATGATGGTTCAAATAGTTTTTATCAGTTTCATTCACCACAGCCCCAGGTTATTATTGACTCACTCAGCCACTAGCTTCAGTGTGTCCAAATATGACTCACGTCTGAAGGTCAAAAACCTTTCCTAGAGGAGTCACCCGTTCTAAAAACCCCCAAAGCTGCTGCCACTGAGTTAATTTTGATTCATAGTGACCTTGTATATAAGGTTTCTGAGGCTGTAAAAAAGGAGCCCTGGTGGCATAGTGGGCCCCACACTGAGATGTTGACCATAAGGTTAGCAGTTTGAACCCACCAGCCATTTTGTGGGAGAAAGACGAGGTTGTCTACTCTTGTGAGGATTTAAAGTCTTGGAAACAACAAAGGGGCAGCTCTACTCTGTCCTCTGTGGGCACTGTGAGTTGGAATTGACTTGATGACGGTACGGTTTTGTGTGTGTGTGTGTGTGTGTGTGTGTGTGTGTGTGTGTGTGTGTGTGTTGGGAGCAGACAGCCTCATCTTTCTCTCAAGGTGGGTTTGAACCACTAACTTTGTAGTTCGCAGCCCACAATAACTCCTACATTTAAACAACAAAATACCCTTTCTATTTCCTCTTCCAAGTAACTGAGGGAAGTAATTTAGTTGGCTTCTCTAAGTCTTCAGCTCTCAGGTCAGAGTGCATGGAAGTAGCAACTCACATCATGTACTCTTTTTACGAGGAGCGCTGATGTCTTAGTGGGGACCACTGGGCTACTACTAACGGCAAGGGCAGCGTCTGGAAACCTGCACTCACTCTGCAGCAGTACAAAGAGCTGCAGTCTCTGAAACCCTCAGGGGCAGCTCTGTCCTGTCCTGTAGGGACACTGTGAGTTGGAATGGCAGCGAGCGAAGAAGAGTCTCTCTACAGACACAGCATAAAACATCTCAACTGCCTTTTTCTGGGCCTGGAAAAGAAATCCCTCCCCACCCACCTAACCCCATGTGTTATAAGTTGGCTGTTATCTGCAATATGCATAAAATGTTTAAAAACCTATTTACTCCTGTTCAGCCAATTATGCAATCTGGTTTCCCCAATATATCACTATTTGTTCTGGATGCAAATATTCCACAATTACATTTTAAGAAAGGATAGAAACGTTCTCTTTTCACTTTCTTGGATCTCTTTCATTAATCATAATATTTCCCATTTGTTTTATATGTAATTTTAGTAGAAGTTGCAAGTGGAGGTAGCGGCACATTGATTGTCCTTTTCATTTTCAATTAGGAAGAGGTTAAGGCAAGAAATTCACCATCGCCTCCAAAGGTGTGCTCCAGAGCTGGCTCAGAGGCAATGAGCTTCTCAGTGGCAATGAGTAACAAAACGGAAGTCAACACCGTCTGCATACCAAACTACCTGGATCAGGAAATCAAAGTAAGAGACAGAGCAATTAGCTCCCCATCACTAGGATCTTTATCTTAAAAATCCTTAATGTTTTCTCATTGACAACTGGATTGGTTTAAAACTACTTAGCTTGTGATTCATGAGGCTGGTGGCATGGTGGGTGGAGTGTTGAGCAGCTAACCACAAGGTTAGCATTTTCGAGAAATGACTTAATAGAGCAGTTTGCCCCCACCAGTGACTCTGGGGAGAAAAAGGAGACTCTGCTCCCGTAAAGATTTCCAGCTTCAGAAGTCCAAAAGGGCAGTTCTACTCGCCCTTCCAGGGCCTGCCCTATAGGGTTGCTGTGTTAGAATTCACGCACACGGGAGGTGACTGAACATACCAGGGCTGTGTCAGGTGCCTCTTAGTCTCCAAAGTCTCCTTTTCAACACTTGAAAGAGGTCTTGAACAGCAGGTGTACCCCATGCAATACGCCATTTAATCTTGTGACTATTGCTTCTATGGGCATTGATTGTAGATCCAAACAAGACAAAATCCTTGGCTTCAAACTTTTCTCCATTTATGTTACCACTTGGTCCAGTTGTGAAGATTTTTTATTAAGTTGTAATTCATATTGAAGGCTGAATCTTTGATTTTCATCAGCAAGTGCTTTACACCCGCCTCACTTTCAGCAAGGAAGGTTATGTCAAATCAAAGGTTGTTAATAAGCCTTCCTCCAAGCCTGATACATATTTTTTGGGGGGTGGCGGGTGGGGGTGGGAATCTGCTGCACAAGATCTTATTTTGTTTTTGTTGTTGTTTTGTCTCCTTTAAAGATCATTTTATTGGGGGCTAGCCCTAATAATAATCCATATATCAATTATATCAAGCATATTTGTACGTATGTTGCCATCATCATTTTCTTTCTATTTGAGCCTTTGGTATCAGCTCTCCTTTTATCCCCTCCCTCCCTCCCCACCCTCCCACCACTGTGATCCCTTGATAAATTATAAATTATTATTTTCATATCTTACACTAACTGCTGTCTCCCTTCACCCATGGTTTCTGTTGTTCATTCCCCTGGGTATGTGTGGTTATGTGTCGATAATTGTGATCTGTTCCCCCTCTTCCCCTCCTCTCCCCACCTTCTCCCTGCCTTCCTAGCATTGCTGCTCCCATTTCTGTTCTTGAGGGGTTTATCTGACCTGGATTCCCATGTGTCTTGAGCTCTTATTTGTACCTGTGTATATGCTCTGGTCTAGATTGCAGTGAAAGACAGGACTGGGGTCATGATAGTGGGGGATGAGGAAGCCTCAAGGAACCAGAGGATTTTTGTGTTTCATTGGTGCTATACTGCGCCGATTGACTCATACCTTCCTTATGACCATCCTGTGAGGGTATGTCCCTTTGTCTACAGATGGGTTTTGGGTCTCTGTTCCAACCCCCTTTGTTCTCAACAATATACTTTTGTTTGTTTGTTTTGGGTCTTCTGATGCCTGTTACCTGATCCCACTGACATCTCATGATAGCACAGGCTGGTTTGCTTCTTCCATGTGGACTTGTTGCTTCTCTGCTAAATGGCTGCTTGTTTAACTTCAGGCCTTTAAGACCTCAGACACTGTATCTTTTGATAGCCAGGCACCATCAGCTTTCTTCACATTTACTTATGCACCCATTTTGTCTTCAGTGATCTTGCTGAGAGGGTGAGCATCACAGAATGCCACATTGTTAGAACAAAGTGTTCTTGCATTGAGGCAGGGCTTGAGCAGATGCCCAAAGTCCATCCACTAACGTGATGTATTGTCATATAAGTACATGTACATATGCCAATACTTCTACTTTTACAAATTAATGTGTTTACATATGTACACATCTATGTTTATACCTCTATCCCTAGCTTTGCTTCCCAGATCTTTGTTCAGTTTCCTTTTACCTTCCTGCTGCCCCACCATCATGCTCATCCTTCTTCTGTCTCTTAGTAATTCCTCTCAGCTAGACTGCTGCTGCTCCAACACCCCCAGGATCTCTACGTCCCCCTTATTGTTGATTTTAATTCCCTAGTTACTCCCCTGTCTATGGTGTTGTTCACTCATTGCTCCCTTCCCCTGCCTCCTACTCCTCCCAAGTCCCTTTGGAACTGTCGGTCCTGTTGCTTTTTCCTCGAGTGTGTTCATCATATAGTCCATCTTCTCTGATTATTTGCTGCAGATTGAAAAAGTATGAGGAGAATATTCAATCTTGACATACACCTTTCATGGTTTCAAACATGCAGTATTCCCATGTCCTCTTGGCACAACTGCCTCTTAATCCATGGACACGTTCCACATAAACACAGTTAAATGTTCAGGAAATCTCCTTCTTCACAAGGATATGCATTGTTTATTATGATGCACAGTCGAATGGCTTGGCATAACCAATAAAACACAAGTAAACATTTTTCTGGTATTCTCTGCTTTCAGCCATGATCCATCTAATTTCAACAATCATATCCCTTGTTTTCCATCCTCTTGTGAATCTGGGCTGAATTTCTGGCAGCTCCCAATTAATGCTACAACCATTGTGGAATAATAGTCAGCAAAATTTTACTTGCATGTTATATCAATGATATTGTTCTACAATTTTTGCATTCTTTTGCATTCTTTCTTTGGAATATGTACAAATATAGATCTCTTCCAGTCAGTTGGCCAATTAGCTGTCTTCAAAATTTCTTGGCACAAATGAGTAGGTGCTTCCAATGCTTCATCAGCCTATTGAAATATTTCAGTTGGTATTCCTGGAGCCTTGTCTGTGGCTAATATTTTCAGTTCAGCTTGGACTTCCTTTGGTACCAATGGTTCTTGCTTATATACTACCTCTTGAAATTATTGAATGTCGACTACTTCTTTTTGGTACAGTGACCTTGTGTATTCTCTCCATCTTCTTTTGATGCTTACTGCATCATTCAATATTTTGCTCATAGAATCTTTCAATATTGCAACTAAGGACTTGAATTTTTCTTGAGTTCTTTCAGTTTAATATAATGCTGAGTGTGTTCTTCATTTCTTTTCCTAACTCTAGATCTTTATGCATTTCATTGGAATACTTGACTTTGTCTTTTCAAACTGCTATTTGAAATTTTCTGCTCAACTCCTTGACATCATCATTCTTTCCATTTATTCTACAAATAAGAGCAAGTTTTCAGAGTATCTTCTGACCCACTTTTATTTTTTCTTTCTTTGCTGTCTTTTTAATGACCTTTTGCTTTTTTCATGCACAATGTCCTTGATGTCATCTCATAGCTCATCGGGTCTTCTATCATTAATGTTCAGTGTGTCAAATTTGTACTTGAAATAGTCTCGAAATTCGGATGGGAGAGATTCAAAGTTGTAGCTTGGTTTTCATGTACTTATGTTCATTTTCTTCAGCTTTATCCTGAGCAATTGACAGTTTGTTCCACAGTCAGTCCTAGCCTGGTTTTAGGTGCTCATATTGAGCTTCTCCGTGGTCTCTTCCCACAGATATAGTCAATTTGATTTCTTTGTATTCCATCTGAAGTCGACAAAAGCTACCCTTGTGTTGTTGAAAAAAAGGTATTTGCAATGAAGTTGTTAGAAAATGATGATGGCAACATATGTACAATTGATGTATGGAATGTTATAAGGGTTGTAAGAGCCCCAATAAAATGATTTTTTTTAAAAAAGAAGAAAATGCTTTAAAATTGATTGTGATGGTGATTATACCACTTTTAATAAATAGTTGAACTATCGAAAAAATTATAAAAACAAATGCCTAGGATATTGATCTTCATGTATTCCATTTCATTTTCCATGAAATTCAATTATCCTAGATTTTACTTTGTACATTCCAAGTTCCATTATATGTTTGCAGCTATTTCTTCTAATTTTGCGAAATTTTCCATCAATGCATGAAGGTCCAAAGGGCTTTAGGCCATCAATGTCATTATGGTTTTCTCTGGGCATCTCTTCCTCAGCCATATTTTGAGTGCCTTCCAACTTGAGCAATTCATGTTCTGGGACTATCTCTAACAATGTTGAGCTTTTTTTCATGCATTCCCCCCACCCACCCCCAGTATCTGGCAATGTTTCATTGCTATTTGTAAGATTTTGAATGGCGGATTCCTCAGACGTGGACAGCTCTCTTCATAGTTTATTCGTAGTCTTAAAACTTTCCTGAAATGTGTTCACTTTGGGAGGGCCTGCTATTTGAAATAGCTTCTAGCATCACAGCACTACACAAGCCACAAGAGTACAACAAACTGACAGAAAAGAGGTGGGACTATCCTGTGGACTGCCAACACATCAAGCAATCCAGTCTTAGAAGCAATAGAATCAGAATGCTCCTTAGAAGAGAGGATGACAGGACGTGGATGTGGTAACCTTGGACATATCATCTTCAAAGGACTTTATGCTGATAACGTAGGGGGTCAATCAAAAGGAGGGAAACCCTCAGTGAGATGGATTGAAACAACGGACTCACACATAATCATGAACATGAAGATGGCATAGACTGGGAACCTTTTGTCCGATTCTACATTAGGTCCCTGTGAATCAGTGCAGACTCAATGGCAACTAACACCAACAAGAATTTGCAAATGAAAGCAAGCTCTAAGGTTGATCATAAATAATCCTGGTAAGAAATTGAGCCCTGGTGGCGTAGTGGTTATACATTGGGCTTTGATCCACACGGCTGGCAGTTCAAAACCGCCAGCAGTTCCATGGGACAAAGACTGGGCTTTCTACTCCTGTAGACAGAGTCTCAGAAAACCCCAGAGGGGTTGCTATGAGTCAGCATTGACTCCATGGCTTGGAATTTGGTTTGGGGTAAGAAATTATTTTAAAAGTAAAATGTAACAGTAAGTTGAAGTAATATATGCTGATAATTAAAATTTGAAAAGCAAATGAAAGGCAACCCAATGATAGTGACTAAACAACTTTAATATTATAGTGTCTTCAGACCCACTACCCATCTAATTCACCTCACTTTGCTGATCTTTTCATAACTCACTCATTCCCACTTTGGGGGCTTTCTACTGCATGCTTCCTCTAGTACGAGTCTCTTCTTGTTAACCCTCTGAGTGGTGTCATCTTCTTCTCACTGAGGTCCCAGTTTAAATGACACTTAGTGAGAAATACTGCCCCTGGTCATCCAGCCAAAGTGGCTCCCATGTCACTTTGTATTGTGCACTTTATTGCACTTCATTCTGTTGCTGCTGCTGTTGAATAGCACTTGTTACATCTCATATACTTCTGTATCTCTCTATTCCTATGAATGCCAATATCCCCGCCCAATTCCACTAAAATTTCACCTTTTTAATTTTTGAGATCTTATACTTGCCCGTTTCAGTTATTAATTTATCTTTAGTGCCCAAATGAGTGCTACTTATGCAGTAAACCAAAACCAAACCCACTGCCGTCAAGTCGATTCAAGGCATAAGGAGTCTAAAAGGACAGAGTAGAGCTGCCCCTGTGAGTTCCCAAGACTAGAGCTGTACAAGGGGATGAGCAAGCCTTCTTTCTCTTCCTCAGAGAGGCCTGTGGTTTAGAACTGCAGCGCAAAATGTAACCCACTGCACCACCGGGGCTCCCTAGATTCACAGTAGTTCGTCAGTAAGTACATGTTGAATGTTAAATAAATTAATTAAAGAGAAAAGGGCTACCAACTGAAAATGGGTCTGTGGAAAATCAGCTAACTACATAAGCCCTCAACTCAACAGCCATAAGCTCAGTGCAGTTTACCAAGAGACTCTTTCTTGGTCACAGCAAGCACTTATAGAACTAGCCTCGTAGAGATTATTACAGGGCCTTCCTTTCAAAAGTATCGTCTCCTTTGTGGGTAGCCACTAAATTGGATACTAATTGAAAATTTTAAACAATCCACTAAGAATGCAAGTCCTTTGAAAGAAGGTGCCTGCCAGTTTTGCTCACAATAGAATCTTTAGCATGTACCCCCTTGCTTGAGAAATATTTGCTTGTACATAGAATCTGGCACTTTACCAAGTAGTTCTTAACTATTTGCTTAATAATTGAAAGAAGAGGAAATTGAGAAATTATGTGTAATCAAGATTTCTTGGCCTCTATCCGATAATTTTAAATAGAACCCATCTTGGAAGTATTCGCGACTTCCGTCCAAATACCAGAATCCACTTTTTGATCTTCCTAGTATCCAAGTTGGTAACTCTGAATAGGATGTGGAAATCAAGAACTGCTTCTGCAAGCGTGTTTGTGTGTAAACCAATACTAAGTTTCAAAGCTATTTACTTTAGAGAAAATGAAACACAAGATTCGGTGTCTATTATTAGCACACTCAACCCAGATTTCAGATTGAGACCACAATTTTAATCATGGCACTAAAAAAAACCTGGAGCCACAGAAGAGAACAATAGCTTCATTAGAGGGAACGGATTTTCATGTTCAGGGTTGCTAAGGTAATTGGGATTTGCAAAGTCAGCTACTGAAGAAGGGAATCTGTATATAGGACGCACACTCAAACGTGATGATTCAATAGCTGTACATAAACAAACTGTGATTCTGAAATCTGGCATAAGAGAGATGATGGGAGCTTCATAGATCTTGGACCTACTGGAGTTCAGATTTGCCAGAGTGGAGAGCTCTTGCTGGAAACATCAGGAAATTCGTTGAGGCCCCCATAGAGACCGTACCCAAAGACTAGGGTTACTTTAGCCCATAAGACTACTTTAGACCCACACGATCAGATCCTGAAACAAAACAAACTCATCTGCCAACCTAATGTCTTTTAGAACAAAATTCAACACTCTTTAAAAGGAAACAAACAAAATTCAGCATTTGAATGCAGCATTTACAAAGTTCAGCATATTATTAAGTGCACTAAAAACAAGAAAATTTAATCCATAGTCAGAGAAAAAGGAGTTACAGTAGCACACACAGTTATGGCACAGGTGCTAAAATTGCTAGGAAATGTTTTAAACAGGGGTGTTTTAATAATTTCAAGGACTTAAGAGAAAAGATAAAGATAATAATGAAACAGACCAGGAATCAATAGAAAACAGAGACCATGAAAGAGAAGCATAGACATTCAAGAGCTGAAAAACTTAGTATTTGAAATTAAAATTTGACTGGATAGACATTTCCAAAGAGAATATCAATGAATTTAAAGACAGTAATAAAACTATCCAAACTCAATAAAGATGCATACAAATATAAAACAAAGCCTTAGTGACCTATGAGAGTATATGAATTAGTCTAACATCTGTGTAATTAAAGTTGCAGAAGAAAATAAAAAAGACAAGGGGCAGAAAGACTATTAGAACGAATAGTCACATGTTTTCCAAACTTGGTGAAAAATATCGGCCCACAGACCAGACACTCAATCAAACCAAACACGATAAACAAAATCATATATGGGCACATCATAATCATATTGCTAACAGAATAGAAGCCACGAGAGAAAGAAGATACATTATATGCAATGATAAAAATGGCTGCTGAGTTCTCATAACATAATGCGATGACATCTTAAAGTGTTAAGAAGAGATGAAGAAAAACAAAAACCTTCCCAAATAAGTGTGATTATAAAGAAGTCCTGTGGTCTTGGGCCTGTATCCTGACAGTATCTTGATTGTGATGGTAGATCCACACATCTACAAGAGACCTGTACCAATGTGTCAATATATCAATCTGTATCAATACCAATATCCTGGTTTTTGATATTATACTATATATAGTTTTGAACAATATTACCATTAGGGAAACAAAGAATATCATCGCTGATATCAGATGAATCTTAGCTGAAAGCAGAGAATACTAGAAAGATGTTGAAACTTGTGTTTTATTAACTATGCTAAATCATTCATCTGTGAGGAGCACAACAATTTATGGTTAACATCAAGAAGAATGAGAACACCTGAATACTTCCACGTTCTCGTGCAGAACCTGTACAGGAATCAAGAAGCAGTCGTTGAATAAAACAAGCGAATACTGCATGGTTTAAAATCAGGAAAGGTGTGGGGTCAAGGTTGTATCCTCTCCCCAAATTTATTCCATCTGGGGCTGACCAAATAATCTGAGCAGCTGGACTGTATGAGAAAAAAATATATAGCATCAGATTGGAGAAAGACTTATTAAAAACCTATGATATACGGATGACCCCACCTTGCTTGCTGAACGTGAGGACTTGAGGCACTTTCTGAAAGAGGATTGCAGCCTTCGACATACATTGCAAACGAATCTAAAGCCCAAATCCTCACAACTGGATCAATGGAGAAAAGATTCAGGTTGTCAAAGATTTCATCTTGCTTGGGTCCACAATCAATACTCGGGGATGCAGAAGTCAAGAAATCAAAGGAGGCCCTGCAAGACCTCTTGGAAGTTTCGAAGAGCAGGGATTAAGGAGAGTCTGACCCCAAAGTACTTTCATTTGCCTCGTATGTCTGGCCTTTGAACAAGGAAAACTGAAAAGAATGAATGCGTTGGGACCGGCCGAGCACTTCGAAAGGACCCCTGACTGCCAGAAGAACAAACAAACCTGTGCTGCATGACGTGCGGTCAGAACGTTCCTTCGAAGAGAGGACGGGGCGTCTTTGGTTTTGCTATTAGTAAGGACTGGTCCCTGGAAAAGGACATGATGCTTGGTCAAGTGGAATGTCACCGAAAAAGAGGAAGACCCTCCCGAGAAGGATTTGACTGAGTGGCTGCGACAATGGGTTCACACCTCACAGTAATTGTGAGGACGGTGCTGGGTTTGGGTCGGTTGTGTTGGGCTCCTCTGAGCTGGAATCGACAAGAGGGCACCTAACAACCACACCAGGGGAACGTGGGCAACGTGTACACGTATCGGGGTTCTTCGTACCAACGCATGTGAGCCCCAAACTATCTTCATAAAATAATGTCAGTGAAAAAACAAAAGCTGACAAAGGAGAAGCGAAATTACGACAAAATCCGAGACCAGAGGTTACGAATGAGAAGACCTACGGTATCAGAAACATTCAAATTCTCCAGGCTGGATGCAAAGGAGACTCGGTGATTCGGGCGCTGGGGCGCCGCCGTCGCGCGCAGCCGCACAGCGGGTCTCGCCTCCCGCCCCTCCCCCTGCGCGCCGCCGTCACCAGGGAAACGGGCCGCCGCCGCCGCCGCCGCGCAGGTGGTTCCATGGCCGCGGCGGAGAAAGCAGTTGTGGGCCCTCTGGTGGGCGCGGTCGACCAGGGCACCAGCTCCACGCGCTTTCTGGTCTTCAACCCGAGGACCGCAGAGCTCCTTAGTCACCACCAGGTGGAAATCAAACAAGAGTTCCCCAGAGAGGGGTGGGTGGAGGAAGACCCTCTGGAAATTCTGCAGTCTGTCCACGAGTGTATAGAGAAAACGTGTGAGAAACTCCGGGAGCTCAATGTTGACCTTGCCGACATCAAAGCCATCGGCGTCAGCAACCAGAGGGAAACCACCGTCGTCTGGGACAAGGTGACAGGGCAGCCTCTGTACAACGCGGTGCTGTGGCTGGACCTCCGAACCCAGTCCACGGTTGAGAACCTCAGCAAGAGGATTCCAGGGAACAAAAACTTCGTCAGGCTCAAGACCGGCCTTCCGCTGAGCACCTACTTCAGCGCGGTGAAACTTCGCTGGATCCTTGACAACGTGGGTCAAGTTCAAAAAGCCGTGGAAGAAGGCCGCGCTCTCTTCGGGACCATTGATTCGTGGCTTATTTGGTGTCTGACCGGAGGAGCCAAAGGAGGCGTCCATTGTACGGATGTGACCAATGCCAGTCGGACGATGCTCTTCAACATCCATTCTTTGGAATGGGACAAAGAGCTCTGTGACTTTTTTGAAATTCCAATGGCGATTCTTCCAAATATCCGGAGTTCTTCGGAGATCTACGGCCTCATGAAGGTCGGAGCCTTGAAAGGCGTGCCCATATCCGGGTGCTTGGGGGACCAGTCCGCTGCATTGGTGGGACAAATGTGCTTTCAGGATGGTCAAGCCAAGAACACGTATGGGACAGGCTGTTTCTTGCTTTGTAATACAGGCCGTAAGTGTGTATTTTCTGAGCATGGCCTTCTGACCACGGTGGCTTACAAACTAGGCAGAGACAAGCCGGTGTGTTACGCGCTGGAAGGTTCTGTCGCTATTGCTGGCGCCGTTATTCGCTGGCTGCGAGACAATCTGGGAATCATCAGTACTTCCGAGGAATCCGAAACCCTTGCTAAAGAAGTCGGTACCTCTTACGGCTGTTACTTCGTCCCGGCGTTTTCAGGGTTATATGCACCGTATTGGGAGCCCAGCGCAAGAGGGATCATCTGTGGTCTCACTCAGTTCACCAATAAATGTCACATTGCTTTCGCTGCACTAGAAGCTGTCTGCTTCCAAACCCGAGAGATTCTGGATGCCATGAACCGTGACTGCGGGATCCCACTCAGTCATCTGCAAGTCGATGGAGGAATGACCAGCAACAAAATCCTCATGCAGCTGCAAGCCGACATTCTGTACATCCCTGTCATGAAGCCCTCCATGCCTGAGACGACAGCTCTGGGTGCAGCGATGGCGGCGGGGGCGGCGGAAGGAGTGGGCGTCTGGAGCCTCGCCCCGGAGGATTTGGCCGCAGTCACCATGGAGCGGTTTGAGCCCCAGATCAACGCGGAGGAAAGCGAAGTTCGTTATTCCACCTGGAAAAGGGCGGTGATGAAGTCAATGGGCTGGGTTACCACGCAGTCTTCTGACACGAGCAGCCCTAGTATCTTTTGTAGCCTGCCCTTGGGCTTTTTTATCGTGAGTAGCCTGGTAATGTTAATCGGAGCAAGGTACATCTCAGGTCTTCCATAAATAATACCAACTCGTGGATCCCCCAGCTGCGAGCTTTTTACATAGTGACCGGACACAGCAACTTTGCCTCCTAATGTGATGACACTCTTCACAGGCTTTGATTTTCTTGATAAGCCACTTGGTGCATGACTCTCCAAGTAGACCTGTGGCTTGAAATAAAGAAAATGCAGCGGAAAGAATGCTTCCAGAAACATCTGGTGTGTTATTATTATTTTTAACTCAACGGTTAAGGTTGGGCTGGCCACTTTGGAGACTGACCTGCATGCACTCTTGCCATAATCCTCTGCTCTTAATTCTCTCTAAAATCTAAGCAGTATTCATAGCCTGCTTCTGGTATATTTCCTCAAACATGTTCCAACACGGACGAAGAAGAGTGGATTCTTTGCACTACACACATTGAGTAAAAGGTTATTACTGACCTGCTAACCGTGAGGGCCTTTTTAAAAACCAGATCCTCAAAGTTCTCTTTCCTACACATTAACGGAGAGCACACCACCTCTGAGGAATGTCCAATGAAAACTTCTACTAAATTCTTAAAATGGAAATTTCACACCTTGCTAGCTTAGATTATCTTGCCGAAAATTATTCTACCCAGACAAACTCTTCAGACATTTTACACAGTCATGTTCAATCATTACATACACTGAATTGCTGACTGGTTGTTACAGGGAAGGACACATTGTTCCTCGTTTCTTTTCAACCCTCCTTTTTATATTTTTCACGTTGTATCTTTAACATACATTTTCTATCATGAGAGGAGCCCATTTAATTAAAAGCACATTGCATTCAAAATATTTGGGGGAAACAACTGTATATGGTTTTCTAATGATTATGCATATTATTTACCAAAACTTTCTAGTAGAGGCAGCATTTACATTTTAAGTACGTGTTCTATGCCAATAAAAGAAAGTACACTTTAAAAATTTTGATTCATACAAAGAATTAAAGGATGCTAGAAATGGTTTCCATGAGGGCAAATATAAAAGAAATTCTTCTCTTTTCCTAGACAATTATTGAGAGGAAAATATGCCAAAACTGCATTGTGTGTTTATAACACATGTAGCATAAAACATATGAGAAGCCTCAATTATGAGTGTGAAGCAAATGAAAGTATAACTTAGACATTTCTTATATCATACATGAAGAGGCATAATTTTAACTCAAAGAAAACTATGTTGAGATTAAGGATCCGTCTTTTAATTCCTAGAGTAACAAAAAATTATACCTAAAAAGTCATTGGAGAGGATTAAGTACAATACTAAAAATACTTCATTAATCCAATAGAAGGAAGAAATACAGAGGATGTGGGATAAAAACAGCAAGATGGTAAACCTAAGTAAAATAAAAATGAACTGAGAACTCAAATGAAAAGATTGGATAAAACCTTTTAACAAGGCATTTTTTTAGTTCTTTTAAATATTTGATAGTAAAAATATGAATAATTGCTTAATTTAACTATGACATGCAGAGCATATGGCAAGTCCTGCAATAAAAATATTAAGTAGCCAGTCAACAAATGATCGAACATCTCCAGGGACAAATATGAGTAAATAATACTGGAAAATCTGCTCCGCTGTTTTCCATTTAAACAATTGTTTTGGAAAAGAACAGTAAGACAACCACCTCGCTTTGGCTTGAGAATCTAGCCTCTTTCATCTCCAGTTCACAGCACCCCACCCATGGGTCACAGCTCCAATCCCAATACTGGCCTGGGTCGTATGACCTTTTGCTAGTGCAGTGCAGCACCATTAATTTGTTTTCCCTTTGCTATTATGTAGTGATATTCATTTCAGAGATCCAGTCATTAAATGCTGCAGAGCAGCTTCCTGATTTGGAAAGGAGAGAGATTTTAAGAGGTATTGATGCATGTTTCTTATGTACACCCTTTGAAGTCACAAGACACATAGTCAAGGTTGGCCTCTTGGGCTCTCACTCATAATCCACTAAATCTGCGGCTAAAGAATGTACTCAAGAGGGCAATCAAGTCTTCATGTCACAGTCTGATTCAGGACATCCTCTATCTTCTAGAAGTTGTTCATCCTTAGCACCCGCAGAGTTGTCCTTCTAGAATAAGGTTCAATCAATAACTATTGCGAGTCTTATCAAGTCACTCACTTCTTAGAGGAGTCAGGAAATGGGGAGATGGCCTTAGTTGACGAATCCATGGAGTCTATCTTTCTGGCCTTCCATACAAACCACATGGAGAGATGTTAATGTAATGTATTTCACTGGAAGAGAAAAGGAAAGGAAAATAGAGTTCGTGTTTGGTTACTCTGTATTTTGGGGTGGTGGGTAATTAATTTGCATAGCTTCCATTTCTCTACCATAGTATTAGAATTTAATATAAGTATCACTTGTCTACTTTTATTTACAGTTCATCCATACAAATAATATATATATAATACATATATATATTAAAAACTTACGGAGAAATGCAGGTTTTGTTTTCCTCTCCTCTTTACAACTTTCTCAAAATCATTAAACTTAAATGAAAATTTATATGGACATTTTCTGTACATATATGAAAGGACACATTACCTAAAGCCAAAAGAGTTGTGCACATGTACAATAAAATAAAGAAAACAGAAAGTAAAGGTGATGTCATTTGGGGGTACAAATATAAACAATACAGTACCATTGGAGCCATTTAGCAACATTAATACTCATACTTTATAGAAATAAAGTATGCAAACCTGGAGAATGCTCTGGAAAAAATTCAAGATTACATGTACAGTGAGGTAAATGTATTGGTCTCCTGAGAGGTAATTTATGTTTAACGCAATTGACATTTTGAAGCATCGCCTTGACATATAAAGAAATATCAAACATACCTGGAACTATTTGCTCCGTTTGGCCATTCTTTTTTGCTGTCTAAACTTTTACTGCTCCTATAATAATGGTTGGAAGATAACTAAAGCCTCGTTCCTGATTACTTTGCCAGGGTAGGAGCCTGAGTTCTCTTTAGACTAGAACACCTATGAGAAAACAAAGGGTCTGCACATGTCATCTGGAGATGTCTTAGCTCAACTCCTACGAGAGCATGTCAATTCCTACTGGGCACCCTACAAGTTCAGAGCAGCAGTTTGCTGCAAAGCACTTTTATGGCATATGTAATATCTTATCATTTGATCTCCCTTTTGACTCATTTTAAAGCGGTTTCAGTTACCCGCCAGAAAAGTGAAGTGGCAATGCATGCAGATTCAGTCCCTGGTGATTCCCCTCTGACCATGGGCCAGAGATGTGAATAGCCTTGCTCCCATGCAGAGCGCATTTGAAAATGGATGTAGCACTCAATCATTTCTCTTCCATTAAAATCTATTTTTGTTATTAATATTTTTCTGCTTTTTTATTGAGGTTTTTAAAATTTTACATTATTATTATTAGGTTAACAATATTTTTTCCATATATGAAATCCAGGATAGGTAAATCTACAGAGACAATAACTGAATTAATGGTTCCCTGAGGGTATGGCAGGGGGGGTTGAGGGGGAATGGGGAGCTAATAAAGTTGAGTACCAGAATGAAGAAACTGTTCTAAAACTGATTGTGGTGATGACTGTACAACACTTCGTGATGTGATTGAACTACTAAAGTGTATGATTTGTGAATTATATGCCAATTCAATGATTTGGAATAAGCAAAAGAGCTGAAAATAATATCATAAAAGTTGATGACAAAGCACACACAACCCACTGTTCAAATAATTGACAGTGGCATAACAAAATGTCATATCTGTGTTTAAAAAAAGCAAAAGTGAAACAAACTGCTTGGTATTTAAGATGAGTGTGCATTATGAGTATCATCCCTCCTACCTAAGAATGAATTTCAGACTTTTTTGGCCAAAAATCAGCAGATGGTATTCCTAGATGCATTGCAAAATGTGCTTTGAAATTAATGGGACACATGAAGAAAGTAGGTTTCCCTTATGTGAAAATTACTACTCAGAGTGCTTGCTAAGTACTTATCAAATTTGATTGTCTCTTGGATATCTAGTTACATTCTGATAAATAGTGAATTGATGGTGTGTGTGTGTGTGCTAATAACTTCCAAGAGGTTTAAACATAGCCCTAGTGTTATAGCAGCTATGAGTTGGGCTGCATTCCCATGGCCGGCAGTTGCAAACCACCAGCAGCCCTGGAGAAAGACTGTGCTTTCTACTCGCATTAACATTTACAGTCTTGGAAACCCACAGTGGGTCGCTATGGGTCAGCATTGACATGATGGCAGTGGGTCTATTTTTCAAGCACCTGGTTTTTCCAAAAATAGTGTGCCCACATAAATAATGATCACACATAGAATGTGTAAAAATTGTAAAATTATGTAAAACATTTTTAGACATAGTGGTCCCATGCATATACTGCACATCTCATGTCATTTCTAGCAGTGAACTTTGGCTTCTGTCACTTCCATTCAATAGCCTGTAATCATATTTTACTATAAATGTATAACACAATGTCAACAAGTGAGGGATAGAGTTTGGTAATATCCTGTTAACCAGTAAACAATTGAAGTTGCATTTATTTCTATTAATTTTAGTTGATAATTATATCCCCATTGCTCCTGAGTTATCTTGAGTTTTGAACCTACTGAGGCCTTCTCATTAACCACCTGATATAAACTGGAAGTGAAAGTAAGAGTAAAGTCTGCACTGGCATAAATGTCACTGAATAGCTATCAATAGGAATCTCATTTCAATCTGGACTCATGTAATAATCATAGTCCTCTCCCAACTCTGGCTCTTAATTAGAGGAGTAAACAAAATAAAACTGATACAGGATTTCTCTGGGCTCAAAGTTGAGTGGTAATACCTTATCAGATAATCGTGAGTGAAACCATTAAGCTATGTTAAGTCTGCATATTTCATTGTCTAGACATGTCTTATTATGGATAATATCCTGATCAAAGCACTTTAATCATATACTTTTGAGTCATATGCAGGCTTCTTGTACACCTTCAATTTTACTTTTGAGATCTCTTTACTATAGAGCCAGCCAGTTATTGATTATATCGTGCACCCTTCCAGTTATGAATCTGTATCTTAGGACCCTATTAAATATAAATCCTACACAGCTGACTTCAAAAATGAAAGTCACCGAAAGGGCAGAAGCATCTCCGTGGAAGCAAGAGCGTGTAAGGCTGGAGAGTCAGCCAGGCTCGTGTGGAGAAAGGAGAACAAGGACTTCGAGAAAATGAATTCTCAAACACCCGTATTGTGGGCCCAAAGGGAAATGGCCCAATTTGGGGGGAAAAAACCTTTTAAGAGTGGATTCTTTAAAGGATTAAAATCAAATTGTTGCAATTCAGAGCATATATAGTCTTCTGGAAAATAAAAGAATAGCAGGCTTCAAGATGAGTTTCGCCTGGGTTTCTGAATTCATGGAAAGGAATGACCTTGGGGAGAATGAGAACCACAGCAGCCGGCAACTTGCGGAGGACTGGGAGCAACGATGGCCAGCTTCTGTGAACGCCTCGTCAAGGAACCCCTGAACTCTGTATCTCTGCAGTGGACACAATGTGGACAGTGCACAGATGTCTTTTCACCGTCCAGCCAGCAGGGCGGAGGCTGCTTCAGGTATGAAAATGTGACCATTATAAATAATTTCACTGGAATGCTTGGCTGAACTGTGATTGGGGTGACATAATAGCCAATAGTGATTTTCAAGAGAGTTACCATGCCCAGTGAAAAACTTCCCACCAATCAGGCTGTTCATGACAGTAAGAAATTACATATGATATAGGACCAGGATCCTTTCTAAGAAGTCATTATAAATTCCCAACACCAAAGAAAAAAAATGTCCAAAAATCTGTTAACTGATGCTCATGAAGAAGCCATGCCTGGTGGTCTGTCTTGAGAGCTGCAGTACTCAGCGTAGCAGTTAAGCATCTACTCAAGACTTTCCGAGAAGAGAATGGAATGACGAAAGCACCTGGGATCCATACAGCCACACTTCTAGGACGACTTTCAGCGGACAGTGGTTACAGAAACCATGGTTCAGAAGGGTTGGGATTGTGTACCGGCAGGAGACCATGTTGAAGATGAAGAGGCCAAAGACAGTAATGGTGCTGAGATCAGCTCAGTAGTCACAGAAGTGTCTGCAAACAGCTCCGGGATTCTTCAATGATGATAGAAATGAGAGATTGAATTTTTAAGGTTTGTAGATGGATGATGATAATAATGATAACAAATGAATGCAATTTTAAGACAAAAACACAATTTCTTCTGATAACTTTTTCTTTGCTGATGTCAAAGAAATTATTTAAATTGTTTCATATTTTCAAAAGTAATAAAAGATAAAAAATACTTTGTTCTTTTAGTTTTAGGCCTAGGATAATGTCTTGCTTACTAATGTCTGGTCTTGTGAATTCATACTCTTTGGTTCAGCATTTGATCCCATTTCCAGCATGAACATGTTCAGTTCACCACTGGTTGTACTTGCTTTGAGAAAATGCCTACCTGAAATTAAGTTTCCATGAGATAGTTTTACCCCAGCAACAGTAAATCTATTGGGCAGGGGGGGGAATGAAAATGAAAATGGGATAATGTGTTCAGAACCGGCACTCAGAATTCTAAAAGTTCACAGGATGCATTTTTTAAAACTTTGATGGTTAACGTGAGAACTGGAAAATCCTACAAAAGATAGGATGGCAGAAAGACAACTTTCATGTCAGGTACCATGCTAGCAGCAGTCCTGCATCTTTGCTGGGCAATGATCTCTGGTTCTGAAATCCCATTCTTTGGGAGTAAAGTTGGACGCAGAAGACTTAATGTCAGAAAATTCCCTGGTAGTCTGCTCTGACAAAACAGAGGCCCCAATGCAATTTTCTAGGTATCCCAATCACAGAAGAAACCTGAGTTTATCTTGAAGCGTTCAGGCTACCCTACTTTAAGGAGGTCAAGAGATCATAGAAGTAAAAGGTCTTTGAAGGATTCAAAAAAATGACTTGGATATATTTCCAATAGTGAAATCCCAGACACCCCAACTACTGCATAGTTTTCACTTCCCAAAACCTAATCCAAAATGGATCGACACTGTCGGCAACAGCCTTCTTTACCTGACTCTCAGAATCCTGGTTTCTAGGCCTAGCTGTTCCTGTGGCTTGGAAGCTCTTGTGGTCCATTATGCATCTGCTCACGCACTCATAATAAAGAAATGAAAGATTTCCTGGAAGGACATAGTCTATTTCCTCTCCCTAAGATGATACTTACACTCTCAAAACCACCACTGATCAATGAACAAGCCTGGAACAATGCACAGTCGCCACATTGATGAAAAGATATCAGAGTCACTGTGATCTAGGGAATGCCAGAGGGCTGTCTTATTTTCAATTTGGCCATTGATGTGTGTGTGTGTGTGTGTGACAAGTGGAGCAAATTTAACCTGTGTTTTTAACCAGCACAGGGCATGCTATTTTTTTCAGACAAAAATCTTATTACAAATTCATTAAAGGACAATGGAATGTTCTGCCCTTTAATTTCACTTTATCTTGCACATCTAAATCAATGGGAGACACATTTCATTAACAGTGATTTAAGAAAAGATTGGTGTCAATGAGACTAGACTACGGTGGTTTAGACTGGACCAAAACAGTAGGGATAAAAGGAAATGGGTAGATTGAGACGCATTACTAGAACTGTATGGTTGTAGGAAATGTAGAAAAGGGCAAGAGATTTGTACAGGGTGGATCACAGGTTTGGTGTGGACAACTGAATGTGTGCTAGTGTTCACTGAGAGAGTGGAGCCTGGAAGAGCAAGTTGGAGCATGTTTGAGGAAGGGAGATGCATTCTGTTTGGGATACTTTGAGCTGAATGTGCTTGTAGTGCATCTAAGTGAATATACCTGGTAGTCAGATGAGTATATAGAACATAAGCGCAAGAAAGAGAAATGAATTATAGATATGTTAAAACTCAACAGCAGACAGCTGGAAACTTCGTGATGTGTTAATATTTTGTACTTCTATTTTCATGCTTATTATATGTATATAATCCATTTTTATTAGAATTGATCTCTTGTATGGCTATGTCCTCTCACCCACACTTTAGCCCTCAGTTCCAGATTGTATTTTACAAATAAATCAATACTTTAAAAATTATATATTATAAATATTAAACATTTTGATTACATTATTATTAAATATTATACGATTTCTGATTGACTAAAGGTGATTATATTTCTGACAAACTGGACCAAATACTGTGTTCAAGGAACTGAATTTCAATGATGAAGTCCACTCAGGACACCCACAAGCCCCTCTGTGGAGAGGAACAGACATGGAGGGACGGGTGTAGGACTGGAAACTCCCCAGTGGAAACCACTCGCTCATTCGAAAATGATCAATGTCTCCAAAGAAGGAAACAATTGCTCCTGCAGTGAGTCAGTGCTGACTCACAGCTACCCACCCACCTGTGGGTGTCCGAGACTGTAACTTCAAGAGCAGAAAGCCCAGGCTAATGTCCGATGGGGCTGCTGGTAGTTTCAAACCGCCAACCACGTGGGTCGCAGCCCAGCTCATAACCACTTCACTACCAGAGCCCCATCCTGCTGGTGGTACTCAAAACAAAACAATAGAATCACGCTGTGTTGTCTCACCTGAAATTGCCTTACTAATATTGCTCTGGCTACGATCCCATTGTGGGTTGTTTGGAAACTGATTCTCCAGCTAAGATCCCAACGAACTTAACTGAGCATCATTTACAGTGAACTTTGGGAAGATGAGATTCTGGAGAAGGTCAAGGAAGCCTTATAAGCCTTGTACCAGGTATTTGCTTGTGATGTAACTTTTGTGTTCTCTTGTCAGATCCTGGCCAAGCTCTGTGAGATTTTACACACCGATTCTCTGGCGGAAGTGCTACAGTGGCTGCTTCATGCAAGTTCAAAAGGTGAGCCAACAGGCAAATTAGACTGTATAGTGTGTCTAGCAAACACTGAGCTAAATTTACTGTAAGAAACTCAGCAACTAACAATAACTGAGGGTGTCGATCTTGGGTTTTCAAAGAGAATGTACTGTTTTTATATTGCAATAAGGCACTGCAGTATTGTACATCCAAACCCATGTGTGCTGATTATTTAACAAACCTAAATTCGGTACACCTCAAAATGAACTCATTTCGCTGGTGTGAAACATTCATATCCAGGGAGGACTTCAGTCTCAGGTCAAGCTGGTTCATACTTCTGCAAAGTCCATGCACCGAGGCCCCTTCCCCACGATGAACACAACCTTGGGCCTGCTGTGACCTTGGATCCCACAGGTATGGATGACAGGAGCACAGTCTTTCAAGCCTCAAACTCTTAACAGCTCTTCCAATTCCTCAGAAAAACCCATCAGCCCAGTTATCACCCAGCTCTGGCTTGTTTCATGAGAACACATGCCAGTTCCAAACAGGACTATTCTCAGTGACACAGAGCATTTGTCCCCAAACTAGCACAGAGTCATCACACTGAGGCAACACATCTGAGGTCAAGTCTGAGAATTGTGTTTCTTACAAGTTCCCATGTGATGCTGATCATGTTGGTCTGGGGACCAATACTGGAGAATCACTGCACTGCTCCATGTTAGAAATACTAGTGTGTTTTGGAAAGACTAAAGGAGCCTTGATGGTGTAGTGGGTTACGTGTTGGGTTCCGAACTGCAAGGTTAGCAGTTTGAAACCATTAGCCACTCAGTGGGAGAAAGATGAGGCTTTCTACTCTTGAAGATTTATAGCTGTCAAGACTTAATCTCAGAAATCCAGTTCTACCCTCAGGTCATTTCTACCCTGTCTTATACAGTCACTATGTGTCAGAAAATGACTTAATGGCAGTAAGTTTTGAGAATGTTTTAAAATGGGGAGCATTTGGAAATATTAACTTACCACAGGAATTCAAGACCGCTTGGCAGGCTTTTGTGGATGATACTTGAAGACAAGAAATCTTTCATGTTTCCCATTTTATTCTTTTCATTAAAAGAATGAAACAAAATAAATTCCTCTTGGAAATAAAAGAAGCCATGAATACTTGTTGGAGAGAAAAAACAGATGAACTTCAGAAAGAAAGAAGAAAAAGGAGAAGGATAAACTATAGCTAATACAATGACCACAGGCATAATTTCTGTGACTATCTTTAGTGGATATCTTCCTAGATACATCCTCAATTGTTTATCAGCCTGGGTGACAATGAGATCAGGTTATACTTTTCTTTGATATTGCATTTCTTCATCAAGCAGCAGCCCATACAGCTGGTTTCCGTATTCAATATTTAGAAACGATTCGGTGTCATCCAGAAGCAGAGGCCTCAGTGAGCTAGCTACTCTGGGGACGCGAGGTGTCACAGTTCAACAGAACGTAGCTGATGTGAACCAGCTGTTCTGCAGAAGCATTGACTCACACGGAGGTGCTGTCATAAACAGGGTTCTTTAGAAAAACAGAACCCGTTTGATGGAGACACACACAAATACACATACACGTATGTATAAATATGTATGTGTATAGATATAGTTGTTGTTAGGTGCCAGCAAGTCAGTTCAAACCCATAGCGACCCTATGCACAACAGAACAAAATACTGCTTGGTTCTGTGCCATCCTCACGATTGTTCCAACACCTGAGCCATTGTTGTGGCACAGTCAATCCATCTCGTGGAGGGACTTCCTCTTTTTCATTGCTGCTTCACTTTACCAAGCATAATGTCCTTCTCCAGGGACAATATGTCCAAAGTAGGTAAGATGAAGTCTATGTATATGTGTGTGTGTGTATATATATACATAGAGAGAGCGACTTCATCTCACATACATACACACACACATGGATTCGTCATATATATGTGTATGCATATACACACACACAACATACACACACACAGCTTTGTCATATATGAGGGGGTGCCCCCCCAAAACGGAATGTTTTTCAAAGCTATGTATTTAAATTTTTTAAGAAAACAACCTTATCGCCTTCAAAGTACTCTCCACTACACTTAATACATTTGTCAAATGTGCAATTCCATTCTTGGAAACAGTTTTCAAACTCATCTGTTGGATGGCTGAGAGAACCTCTCTGGTGTTTTTTTCTTCACCTCTTCTATTCTAAGTTGTCAAATCACTGTCCTTCACGTCCCTCTTCATTCTCTGAAACAAAAAGAAGTTGCATGGAGAGAGGTCAGGCGAATAAGCTGTGGGGGTTTGAAGAGGCACGCTCTTTTTTGCCAAAAACTGGTGCACTGAAATGGCTGCATGAGCAGGTGTATTGTTGTGGTGGCAAAACCAGTCCCATCTGCTGCAAATCAAGACTTTTTTGTAGCACACTGTCTGCAATCTTTTCAAACCTCTAAACAGAAAGCTTGATTAACAGCCTGACCTGGTGGAATGAACTCCAAATGCACTATCCCCCTCACAAAAAAAACAAATGAGCATTGTCTTGATCTTTGATTTCACTTGTTGAGCTTTCTTGGGGGTGAGGCGATGATGGTGTCTTTCACTGGCTTGATTGATGTTTGCTTTTGGGGTTGTAAGAATAGCACCATGTCTCATCACCAGTAATGACCTTGGGGAAAAAGTCTGGGTCGCTTTGGAGCTGTTCTTTCAAAGCAGGGCATGTTTCCACTTGACACTCTTTTTCCTGGTCAGTCAGAATCTGAGGCACAAATTTTTCAGCAACCCTTCTCATTCCCAAGTCTTCTGGTTAAAAATTACTGAATAGACCTCCAAGATAGCCCAGATTATGTCCCCATCTCTTCAATGGTCTGTCATTGGTCTTCAAGCAGAAGTGTATGAGTTTTGTCAACATTTTCTTCCATTTGGGAAGTTGATGAACATCCAGAATGAGGTTTGTCATCAGTCGACATTTCACATTTTTGAAACGAGAAACCTGTACATACACACTCGTACACTTGAGTTTTTCCCATCGCATTTTTCAAAACAAAATTTCACAGCCACATGCAGTTCTCTTAAATTGGCCTGTCACCTGGGAAGTTTCTCTCTTGTCACAGTGAATTTTTTTGTAAAAGCAGTTTCCATCAAACCTTGTTGTTTGTGATGGCTGATTTAAGAGAACAGTGTGAAGCTGGGAAATTTCTTTCCTGCTTGGGAAAAATGCCCCAGAGACTGTTGTGAAGTTAAACACAGTTTACAAGGACAGCACTGGGGGAAAACGCAAATGTATGAGTGGTTTTCTCATTTCAAAGAAGGCGAAATGTTGATTGATGACACACCTCATTCTGGACTTCCATTAACTTCCCGAAAAGCTGAAAATGTCAACCCACGGTACACTTGAAGTTTGTTCCATCAGGTCAGACTGTTAATCAAACTTTCTATTTAGAGGTTCTGAAAAGATTGCATGATAGTGTGCAACAAAAAGGCCTGATTTGTGGCAGATGGGGGACTGGTTTTGCCACCAAGACAATGCACCTGCTCACCCAGCCATCTCAGGGCACCAGCATGCATTTCTTGTCCCCACACATCTTACTCACTTGACCTTGCTCAGTGTGACTTCTTTTTGTTTCTGCAAATGAAGAGGGACACGAAAGGATAGTGATTTGACGATGTAGAAAAGATGAAAAAATGAGAGAAGTGCTGTCAGCCATCCAAACAGATGAGTTTTAAAAATGTTTCCAAGAATGTAATTGCAGATTTGACAAATGTATTAAGGGTAGTGGAGAATACTCTGAAGGTGATAAAGTTGTTTTGTAAAAAAATTTAAATACATAGCTTTGAAAAATAAATTCCATTTGGGGGGAGGGGTACCCCGTGTGTGTGTGTGTGTGTGTGTGTGTGTGTGTGTGTGTGTGGGTATGTGCGAGAGAGAGAGAGAGAGAGAGAGAGATTTTAAGAATTTTTTCACACAGAGATCTTGACAGATAAATAGCAAATCTGTAGGTGAGGTAACGGGCTAGATTCCCACAGCTTTTCACACTGGGTGATGACTAGATAGAAGAAGTAAAGCTGTTTCTAGCAGACATGGCAATTACAAAGCCTCCTCTTCCCTTTTGACCAGAAAAAGAGTGGGTCTCAGCTTTGGTTCATTCCGAGCTAGGCGAGATAAACTTGTTGACTCGCCGCCGAAGAAGCATCTCAACAGAACCAGCAGCAGAGACCACAGGGCCACTTCTACTTAAACCGCCCTCAAACCCTCCTGCCAGGACAAAAGTGCTGACCAGATCTAGGGAGGGGGATCAACTGATGAGGTAAGTAGACGTCACACATGGCTGCCCGGAGGACATTGATATATTACAAAACTGCAGTATCTGAACACTGCCTCTCAACACATGAAGCATGCTTTAAAAGAATCTTATTGGCATAGAATTCATGTATCATACCATTTATTGTTCAATAATATTAGGAAGGTTGTGAAATCTCCACAGCAATCAATTCAGAACATTTTCTTCTGTCTTGTTCCCATTGTTGTTAGCTCTCCATTTCTGCCCACCCTCCCCTGCCATGTCAATAGGTATTTATTAATCTATTGGTAGTTACTGTCTCTATAGATTCACCTATCCTGGATATAATATATAGAAAATCAAACAAAACAAAAAGAACAAACAAACAAAACCCAACAACAATGACAAAAGCAGAAAAACCTCTATAAAAAAGAAATCAGAAAATATTAAAACTTGAAACAACTTTAGAATGGGCAAAAAGGGAGATCAACTGACAAGGTGTTACATTTCACCCAACAGCATCATCCATAATTGACTTGCTTTCTGTCAGCAAGCAAGGCTGTTCACATGCCCTGACGATGGTCAGAGGGGATTCACCAGATGCTTAATCCATGGGTAGACCCTGAAAACGGATTTGGGCTTCCACTGTTATCCATAGCCTTCTGTAAGCCAAGTGTTCACAATTTAAGCTCTGATACGACTCCCTCCTTCAGATTTGGGTTTTATTTACAATTCTTGTATCACACAGGCTGGTGTGATTCTTTCATGTGGACTTAGTTGATGCCTCACTTAGATGGCTCCTTGTTTGAAGGCAAGCTTTTAAAACCCCAGATGCTATTCTTTCTGATAGCTGGGCATCATCTGATTTTTCCACCATATTTTATGTCACCCTTTGATTCTGTCAATGACTACAGGGTAATTTTTTTTCTTTCATCATCATAAATGCAATTTGAGAACTGTTCATAATTCTACTGTACACAGTTTGGGCAGTCCCTGGGAGGTACAAATGGTTACTGAGGCAGGTTACTAACCAAGAGGTAGGAGGCCTAAGTCTACCCACAGATGCCTTAGAAGTAATACCTGATTGTCTACCTCTGAAAAATCAGCCATTAGAACCCTAGAGAGGTTAGTTCTACTCATATAGGGTCATCACAAGTCCAAACGGACTTGACAGCAACTGGTACTGGTGTGTCTTCCTTACCTAACAGCCTTTCTTTCTCAGCCAAATGCCTCTCTACTGAATGCCAAGAAAGTAGCAATGCAGAAATATAAGAACACTTACTTACTAAGTATAATCAAAAACAGATGCAGAAAAAGAAACCAAACTGTTCTGTTAGCGGTGTATACTAATTCAAGAATAAAAGTAATTGCTTCACTTAATTATCTCTGATATTCTCCTGGGTGCTGGCCTAAGGAAAAATAATTATTGAGGGTTGGGAATTATTTCAGCAGAAATGTTAAACCCTATGATTTCAACAACATAGAATACATGCCTATGTAAAATACCATGGTGAAAGAAAGTGTATGATGTTATTTAAACAAGGAGAGAAATATAGTTCTTTAAAAGCTAAAATTCGGTAAAGCTTAAAGTTGGTGAAAAGAAACATGTCACTTTAGAAAGCAATAAAATATAAGAGAATTTTGAGTTGTAATTTGTCTCTGCTTTAAAGCTTCCTTACGATAAAAAATTGGGGGAATGGGCAAGTCTTTCTATCTTCAAGACACTAATCTAATATACTATTTAGATACTTACCCAATGTCAGAAGAAATTTTTCACTGGGAAGCAAATATAAAACTGTCTTCATTGAAAAACAAAGAATTGGGATAGTATATATAAGCTATATACCTCCTCTTCATTTATCCCATGGTTGATTCCAAAGACATGTAATTCTAAAACAAGTTGGTGTTAAACAAAAATGGAAGATGATTATGTCATTACCTAACTGCTAGATTACATAGTTACATAAATGCCAGATTACATCATTACATAACTGTCAATCACTGAGAATCCTGGCCCACATAATCTTAACAATCAGAGCCAGTTCCTTGAACCATGGAACTCCTTATTGCCAGACAGATGTCATTAATGCGAAACATAGTCAGATTGTAGACTTTCAAAATATTGTTGAAATGTTGGATTTGATAGCCAATAAGGGAGGAGAGAGTGTATGAATGCATCACTTTTATTGACAGTGAAGTCAACAGACAACACTTGCATATAGCCGTGAAATTAACTTTCTCTGTCTCTAATTGGTTTAGAGTGTCAAGCCAAGGACCTGAAGAAAATAAGGAAGTACCCAAAGGTTAAGTATAGTTTGTGATATTTAACTGAGTTAGTATAAGGAAATAAGTATGTAGAGACATAGATTTATAAAGATTTGTAGTTTTAAGGGGAAAACAGTAAAATAAAATAGCGTCTTCTAACTATACTCCTAAGGGGCAGCATTCCTGAAATTTTCAGAGAGCAAAATTTGACATACATTTGATTTTTATTGAAAGGCAAAGTGCTTCATCAGAGACAGCTCTCTGTGGTGCAGGATAGCAGGACCTATTTGTTTCTTAGAGGGAAAGAACATACTTTGAAGGATATACAACAGGAATTACAAGTTTGTTATGCGCAGCTAGCCACAGGGGAGGCTCTAGATTGATCCAATAAAATAATTAGATCTCAGAGTTTTGGTTCCTAACATATTAATTATCATGAAGCCAAATGATATTCACTAAAAGCAAAGTCAACAAATAAAAACAGTGTAATGTAATCAGCTATCCGTGGATGTCCTATGAGTTACCTGGAGTATACTACTATACTAGAGAGTGATAGTTTTGCATCTCCACCAGAAGCCTAGCTCCAGATTACATTTGCCCTAGCACATAATCAGACTGGGGAGAAAGAGGAATTGTGGAAGTTCTACCTTGTTCAACCCAATTAAAGCATCCTAGTGGGTTTGCTAGTCTCTATCTCCCAAACATAATAACAATAGAACAATGACTATGAAGTAGGTCTACAAACTTCAAATGAAAGTCTGTCTTGCTATATCTACAAATCCCCTTCTATCAGGAATGACATGGTAATCAATCGGAGTTCCTGGGGTCACTCTAGACCTTCACAGGTTTTGTTCGTGCATCTTGGGAATAACCTAACCCAAGAGACCCTCTCTTCTAGGAAGCAATCATAAGTGCAGTGTAGACACTGGAAGGTCTTTACTTACCCTGACACGCAACGATAGCTCATGCTGTCTGGCCTCTGCTACCAAACTCCTCCCTGTACTGTAAGACGATGAAAGTTTCTTTCTTTTTTTTTCTTATTGTTAAAAATCCATTTATTTTGTTTAATAATGTCTGTTTACATTATGGCTTTAAGTTTAACTGGTATAGATCAATATTAATACACTCTTTATTCCCAAATATTCTGTTCAAGTATAGGTTGCTATGACCAAAAGCTAACTCGCATGGTCCCATCCTTGCCTACCTACCCTAATTGATGACCAACCCTAAACATTCCTACCCAAATCATGCTGGTTTCTTACAGTGAAAGAACACATTATCCTGCTTGTTGCAGAATAAATAATTCATTAGAGATGACCAAGTGATAAAAATAAAATCTGAATATACTGCTTTATGAATTTTGGGTGCACTTTATTCACCTATACCCAAGATAGCAAAAGTTGAATTTATGTCACATGATCATCTTACTGAATTGTTTTATTTCAGAAGCTGAGTACAAGCCTCCCTTGTTTATAAAAAGGAAGCAGATGAAAATACCCATTACAGAATACTTCAGCAAGCCAAAGTCTCCTCTCAGGCCTAAAACTCAGGACAGCATAACAGCAAAATCCATGTCGGCACGGAGTGCGGAACAAGGAAACAAGCTCTCTTTTAAAAGAATGAATTATCCTTCAACATATCAGTGATAGAAATGTTAGACTTGGCTAATTCTTTCATAAACTTTGGCTTCACTTCATTTACAACATCAAATTATTTTTTAAAATCAAACATTTTTTAATCAAAGAAGCAATAAGGTTTTTCTGTGGCATATGCAAATCTCAAGACTTGTATAAGATGCTGCAAAATAAATAAAAGTGAGACAATTATTTCTATTTGGAGTCCATTTTATTACAAAGTACAAGAGAAATCTGTACCTTGTAGATTCCCAGCCTGTGCTATTAGTATTGGTCCATGCACAGAGGGGCAGGATAGCAGTCCATATCCAGAATGCGGCAGCGAAACTGTCAGAGGAGAAAGCCATCTGAGGCTGACTTTCCCAATCTAGTGTTTCAATGTTGGACTGGAGTCTGACATGCTCACCCTACCCCCACTAAAAGAAAAAATATATAGCTCTAACTCATGAAATTTAAAAGACTAACACACACTTTTAATGAGTATTGAACTTTGTGGCTTGACAAGAAAAACGAAACACTCATGGGTTTTAGTGATAATTTTGTTGTTTAGTGTTTAGGATATGTTGATGTTTTTAAAGAAATGGCATAATTTGTGCACAAGAACATGTATGTTTGCATGTGTACTCTTAATGCCACTACATGTATTGGTATTGTATTGGCTGTACCAAGTGACCAGGTTAAATACAGACATGCGTTACTTCAAATTCACAGTACATTCTTTGAAACGGGATGTTAAATGATTCAAATGTTGTGTGAACAATATTAAAACTTTCCAGGAACCTCCTCCTGGTTGTCCACATCGCTGCCGCTGCTGACAGAGGCCAAAAGAATGGGTGCTAACTGGGGGCAGGAGCAGAGAAGAGGCAGCAAGTGTGGGCCAAGTGGAGCATGCCCAGCCAACTTGAGCGAGAGCAGCCTGTAACCTGCAGCTCCTGACCCCAGACAAAGATCAAGAACCTGCACCTAGAACCATGTCTTCTGCCTCACCACCCAGGTCCCATCTGTGGTCCAGTGCTGCAGGAGTCTGGGTTTACGGGATTTTAAAATCACTCGTGGGAAATAATAAACAAAAGGAGAACTGGTTTCCCTTAAAATAACAATGACAAAAACTTATGGGACCACACATATATGTGATTGGATGTTGTTTGCATGGATGCTAAATGATACGTGCCTGTACTGTAGATTCAGTCTAGTTAATTTTTAGACCAATTGGAGAAAACTATGTTGCCGTTGTTCACATTAAAAAAAATAAGTCTATGAAGGCACAGAGATTTGTAATCAGAGGGAGGGGATAAACCGTTGTAACAAATACCATCCAAACCAAACCCAAATTAAACCCACTGTTAGAGAGGTGATTCCAACTCACAGTAACCCATGGGACAGTGTAGTAATGCTTTGTCGGGTTTCCGAGGCTATACATCTTTACAGAAGCAGACTGGCCTCATCATTCTCCTATGGAGTACCTGGTGGGTTTGAACTATCAATCACAGAGGTTATTTCTTTCTCACATCAGAGTCCACTGTGTACTACTAGCCAGCAAATGACTTTTTTGTATTTGGTGATCCAGAGACCTAAGGTCTTTCTATCTTGTGGCTCAGCCATCACTTAGGGTTTTATTGTCAACTCACTGTATCCTCTTTGCCAAAGAGGAGAGGTGAACAGAGTATTAGATTCCTATTGCTGCGCTAACAAATTACCACAAACTTAATGGTTTAAAAAAATCTATCACTGCAGGCGTGGAGGCTAGCACTTTGAAATAGGTGATGCTAGGCTAAAATCAAGGTATTAGCAAGGCTGCATGCCTTCTGGAGTTTTTAGGGGAGAATTCATTTCCAGGCTTTTCCAAGTTCTAGAGGCCACCTACATTGACTTAAGGCCCCATTCCATCTTCAGTTCCATGAGGGGCCAGTGTAGTCTTTCTCACATTGTATCTATCAGATTGGCACTTCATTCTTCTGTCTTTTTGTCCCACTTTGAAGAATCCTGTGATTATAGTAGATCTTTTTGTATAATCCAGGACAAAATGTGAGGTTAGCTGAGTAGCAACAATTTATTATCTTTTGCCATGGAACATGAAATTGAGAAATGGACACTTTGAGAGATCATTCTTCTTCTGCCTTCCACAAGACATCTGCTTCAAGCCAAGCTTTGGCCTTGAAATTGTAACTATCACATCTAGTCACATTTCAAGGATGAGAACTAGTTTAGCTGAAACAAGTTGCAGCTGCAGATTTTTCCAGGCAAAGGAGACATTTTAACTAGACATATCTGCAGTTTTAAATGATCTTCTGGAATAAGAACTGGCTTTCCCTTAATTGTTAGTTCTGGGTCTATGAACCGACTTCAATCAGGAAACAGATTATAAGTACAATTTTCATTGTGGCAGCTGACTTCAGCTTTCTGCACATCAACTCTGTCTCTCTCTCCCCAATTATATAAATCAAGCAACACTTGTGGATCTCACTCCTTCCTAGGACTGTCATCAGCAGAAGTTCCTGGGGGACAAGGCCTCCTGATTTCCTTCCATTTCTGGTGTTCTGTAGGCTAATTCCGCCCATCTTTCTTGGGATGAGGTGGCCTGGTGGTGTAGTGATTACATGTTGTGCCGCAGTCCTGAAGCCCAGCACTTAGGAACCACTAGCCACCCTGCGGGAGAAAGACAGGGCTTTCTACTCACAAAAAACAGTCTTGGGAACTCACAAGGTTAGTTCTACCCTGTTCTGTAGAGTTGCTACAAGTCAGCATCGACTCAATGGCAGTGCGTTTGTTTGTTGGCAATGTTAGGTGCCATCGAGTTGGTTCTGACTCATACCAACCCTGTGCACAACAGAACAAAATGCCATCCGGTTCTGCGCCAGCCTCACAATTGTTCCTATTCCTGAGCCCATCGTTGTAACCAATATGTCAATCCATCTTGTTGAGCGTCTTCCTTTCTTTTATTGCCCTTCCACTTTACCGAGCACGATGTCCTTCTCGGGGGACTGGTCTCTGCTGACAATATGTCCAAAGCATGTAAGATGAATCTTGCCCTCCTTGTCTCTAAGTCTAAGGAGTACTCTGGCCATTCTTCTTCCAAGTCCTTTTAGCAGTCTATGGTACTTTCCTCTTCTCTATTCTTGATTGTGGATTTTATTAGGTAGGTTAACAAGTTACAAAAAAGTGGAGAAATACTAAGGACAGAGTTGTTCAGTTAGGACAGGTTCTTCTCTCCCATGTCCATAGGCCTCTCTCTGGAAATTAATCTGGTGGCCTGTCCTGTCCTGCTAGGGTAACAGCGCTCTTTTACAGATGCTAATAAATACCCCCAAAGCATGCCACTCTGAAATAAGCCTCAATTCTTCTCCAGCAGCACAATTCAAAAGCAGATCGATTCTTCTTTGGTCTTTATTCAGTATCCAACTTTCACATGCACATGATGCAATGGACTGTGGCAGGCCCACGTTAGTCCTCAAAGTAACATCCTTGCTTTTCAACACCCTAAAAGAGGTCTTGTGCAGCACATTTACCCAATGCAACTCGTTTTTTGATCGCTTGACTGCTGCTGATTGCTGCTTCCATGAGCATTGATTGTAGATCGAAGCAAGACAACATCCTTGAGAACTTCAACCTTTTCTCCAACCATACATCTCGATGCTACCTATTGTTCCAGTTGTGAGGATTGGGGTCTTTTTTACATTGAGTCGGAATCCATACTGAAAGCGGCAGTTTTTGATCTTCATCAGCAAGTGCTTCAAGTGCTCCTCTCTTTCAGCAAGCAAGGTGGGTTTCTTGTGACAGTTAAATAAGCTGTCTGGCTTTTGCCATTCTAGAACCCTTTATGTCTTTTGGGGAGATTGTTTGTTATTATATGTATATTAAAGTCAATGTGATTTCTGTCATATGAATTAATTTTGCCCTAAAAAGCCTTTTATTATTGTTTCAATACAGTAAAGATCCATTTTTACATATATTCCCCTGGCTCCTGATGGTACTTATTTACACAAGTCTTGAACTTCCTTTGCTATATAGAGTATTTCCTCCTAGTGCAAGTTTTTTAGTTCGTGTTGGGCTGCTAATTGCAAGGTCCGTAGTTCAAAACCATCAGCAGCTCCTCTGAAGAAAGACAGAGCTTTCTACTCCAGTAAAGAGTTATAGTCTCAGAAACTCACAAGGAAAGCTATCTGTCCTATGAGTTGAGTCGCTATGGGTTGGCACGACTGGATAGCAGTTGAGTTTTTTGAATTGTTAGAACAGTCCTGGTGGCAGAATGAGTTACCTGCTGGGCTGCTAACTGCAAGGTCAATAGTTCAAAACCACCAGTCACTCCACAGAGGAAAGATGAGGCTTTCTACTCCCATAAACACAGTATTAAGAATGGACGGGAACAGTTCCATCCTGCCCTATAGGGTTGCCATAAGTCAGAATTAACTCCATGGTAGTGAAACTGTTGAATCCTTTAAAGTTGTCAGAGTCCAGGATGTGCCTTAAATCGACAATTACCCTAATCCTATCAAGTTCTTTTTTTGCAAGACATGCAATTCTATCAGAGAGTCCTCCCAGTTCACAGCCTTTGCAGTTAGAAGTTATGATACTCAAGTCAGAGACAAACGGTTTTATTAGTCACAGACAAAACACAACCAAGAGCTCGGGTAGGTTTGTGTTGTCTCTCTCTGCCCATCACATCCCACGGTAGCTACGCTACCCCCATGATAGATGTTGGTACATGCAAGGAATTGCTCGGCAGGGCAGGTACCGCACCTGTGGATTCACCACTTCTACAGGAAGTGTAAACAAGCCTGCTCTTTGTCTGGGGAGAGACTTTTACCTTATTCCTCAGATGATTTGCTAATCTTTTATTGGTAGTTGAAATTCCATAAAAGCATAAGTAAGGGAGAGTGGATGGAAGCAAAGAAAGTGGAGAAATAACTACAAAGTGGTGTTAAGTTAGCCACTGCTTTCCAAGCAGATTCAACTCTTTGCTCAGTCACAGGACACATTTCCAGAACAGGCTGCATAGAAATACTGTGCCATCTGAGGAGGGTCTTGTTATGTGTGGGTTTCCTTCCTTTTGCGTGTTATTGGTCAGTTCTCCCACGTGCTGTTAACTCCCCACCCTGGTGGTCATTTGAGCTATCAGATGCCACTCCTTGTGACACAGTGTTTCATTCAAGTCTAGGAGTATTGGGAAGAGTAAAAGCTTCAGTGGGTCTAGTAAGATCACGGAGCTCAGTATACAAGTTAGTGCACTTCCCACCAGAGCAGGACCGTAAGCCATGCCAGTGAATATGAGACTTGGAAGGCTAACGTGCACCGTGGCATTTTCACTTGCCTCATATGCAAGCAAAAGCAACCACAGAAGAAACTGCCTGTCCAACACTGAGAGGCCTACGGCCTGGCAGACAAGTGGGAGCTGAGCAAAGCTGAGGGAGTGCATCAATTACACCCACCGCAATACCATGGCCAAACAGAATCTTACATGCACTGTGACCAGCTATTAGTACCACTGTTTCCATGGTCATAAACAGTGTCAACATGTGTGACTTGAAGTTTTCAGAAAACTTAGTAAGTTGGGTTTTACTGGAAGAGGGGGCCTGGAATGGCAGTGGGTTTTTTGGTTGTTGTTTTGTTTTAGTGGAAGAAAGGGCTTGTCTTTGCAACTATTTAGCTATACCCGCAACAAGTGAAGGGTACTGTGATAAAGAATTTTTGAGTAGGGGCTGGTTCAGTTGTGTCAAAGTGATGGAAAATTTACCTCACACTCAAGGGCAAGTATAAATCGTCTGAGTCATCCCTAGGACAGCTATTTGTACCCAGTGGCCTGTCTGGGCCTGTAATGAGTTTACCCTATTTCAAAGTAAAAGGCATAGTATTCCATGTTAGTAAATCATATTTACTCAGAATGTGAAATACACAACTTACAACATAAACTTTGTTCTTCTAGAACTGAAGCTTTTCTTTATTTACATTCCTTGGTCACAGAATTATTATGAGATGGGAATTAATAACAGGCTGCTAAAATTAAGGTGACATAAAAAGGGGCATTGAACATTACTAAATCCAATGAGCTTTCTAGTAGAGATATGAAAATTCAGAGAGTAAAAACAACTTATTTTGCCCAAACTCAATGAAGGCTCATGAAATCTTAATCGAGCTGTGACAGAGAATAATTCCTTAAATATAACTGTTCTACACAATGGGGCATGTAGCTAAGCATTAGACTACTGTGGTGAAGCTAAATCGTTTAATTTACCTGTAAGCTAAATCGTTTAATCTTCTACCTGTAATCTTTGTAACTCCCATGCAGTGAATGGGTGGTGCAGGGATAGTAACTGTTTAACGTGGCTCTTCTAGCCAAAGGCTCTTACTCTCACCAAACCATCTTTCTCTGCTTGGGTCTGGTAAAAAGGCCGGGGAAGATACTGATAGGATTCACCTGTGAGTAATTGCAAACAGGATTTCCCTGTGTATAAAATGAGCCTTCTGAGAAGCAGGAGGAAGGATCTTACCACCAGCAAGAGCAAGGAGTGGAGGGCTTCTTTCTCTGAACCAGAGATTGCTGAGCAGTGAACCTCCTGATCCATCAAGCAGCAGTAGCAGAACCAGGAGCCAAACTATGGTAGGAAGTGATGAACCTCCCAAAGCAGAGAGAGTAAAGATGAATGCTTTTGTGTGGGATAGTTTGTGGAGTGGAGCGCCTCTGGGCCCTTAACCGAGGAAGTTAAACTTGCTGACCCACGAGGTGGAGCTGAGTATTTTGGGCAGAGGTTTACTAGAGCAGGATGCCTCAGGGCACTTAATTCAGGGAGCTGGGTTTGCTGACCAACAGAGGTTCCTAGTTGAGTGGTATGTCCTTTGGGAATGTTAGACGGCAGAATTTGTAATATGTCCTGATAAATAACTCAACCCTGAGTATGTTTCACTGGCATTACAACTTGTTAAATTTCGTAATTATGACTTTTGTGAGTTCTGTGTGGCCATTGCAATGCATATTAGAACATGGAGATACATTATAGAACATTAAGTCAGTACAGATGGGAGCATGTAAATCCAGTATAGAGGACTCTATCTAACTCAGTTATTAGTTTTATCATTCTACTGAGTTTAAGAGTGAACCATACCAGAAATAGGTACAGGAATCCCATGAACATCAAGAGGGATGAGCTATTAGTGCAATAGATGTGAGAAGTGGTGGAAGCAGAAGAGGCATCAGAGTCTGCAGCACTGAGATCATGAGTCCAAGCAGAGGTGCAGCACCAAGTCCATGAGGCATTGGTGGGTTTCTTAGCCCTCGGAACAAGAACAAGGGACCATGAACCTGAGATGCCAAAGGCCAGGGACATGCCTGCCAGCACGGCTGAGGGGTTGAGGACAAAAACACTGTATCTTTAACATTTTGTAACCTGTTAAGTTCTCCAGTAAGTCTACAGCCTTAATATTGTCTTGAGTTCTGTGGGACTCTTCCAACAAAGCACTAATCTAGCAGACGGGCAGATGAAAGGGGTCAGAACAGGGGTCAGAACAGGGTAAAGAAGGGTGGAGAGTGGAGGCATGTCTGACTTCTGCCTCATGGCACTCAGTTCAGAGGTGGCCCCCATCCCATCTCTTAACTACTAATCGAAATGCTGGTGGTTCAAATGCACCCAGAGGCACCTTGAGAGGCAGGCCTGGCCACGTGCTTCTGGAAGGTCACAGGCATGAACATCCCATGGAGTTCTGTTTGGCGCACATGGGGCTGCCATGAGTTGGAACTGACCTGCCAGCAACTAACAACAACATAATGAAAACAATGCCCTTTAGTCTCATCCTCCTTTGTCAACTTTCCCAGAAAAATATTTAGCTCTGGATTTCTGCACTAAATTAAAATTTTCCTTAGTACAGTTCAATACAACCATTCATGAAAATAACAATATATCGCAGCTTAATCCTATTATCATTAATAAGTGAGAACTTATAGGCTAAGGTATATACTACTATACCCATATTTTCATATATACCTGTGTTTTACATAGGCATATATTTACATTAGTTTGAACATTATTATGACAGGAAGATATACATAAAAAGTTAATTTTTTTTACTTTAAGTCAACAGAAAGTTTTTTAAGGAAAGGATAAGTTTTCTTTAAAATTCTTCTTTTCTAAGTTTTCTTTTAAAATTCAGTTAAAGAAAAAAACCATTCTTCAAAAGTTACTGCCTTTAAAAACTTCATTTAGAATGCTCTAATTCAATGGTACAACTGAAATAATTGACCACCGTTGTAGCAAGTGGGCTACCAGCAGGTGCTCCTCGGGAGAAACACAAGGTTTTCTACTCCTGTCAAGGTATGGTCTTAGAAACCCACAAGGACAGTGTGATCCTGTCCTATAGGGCTGTTATGAGTCAGCATGAGTTTGGTTTGGGGAGGTTTTACGAAAATCTGTGATAGAGATTCTGTCTTTTCAATGACTGCTTTGGAACTATGAAAATTTATTGAAAAGGCCGAGTAGATATAGGTTTCATGATCCAAAGGATATGAATTGTTGTATCTATCAAACTGATACTTCCTGAAATCACTTTATTCCTCAGAATTAACAAAACTGAATATGAAACCTAAACACTAATAGTGGGTGACCCCAAAACATAACATTCTGATAATCACAGAAGATTTATGAATATCTACTCCTACAGATTAATATGCACTAGATCAGAAAGACTGACATGAACATAAAATAGTAAAGCTCAAAGGACCAAAGGCCCATTCTAAAAAATGTAATCCAATAAATGAAGGAAAATAACATATACTAATAATTGAAAAATTCCTACAAACTATTTACTTAGGCTTAGAAAGTAATTTAAACAAAAACAAGACACATTTAAGTCATCCCATGCAAAAGCAAAAGTAATACTTTGTCCGCGTTAAAAGGGCTTTTCAAACAATCTTTTAGTTTTTTAATTAAAAACGAACAAAAAAACTTCACAACAGAAATAAGAAAATACATCATTTTCTTCCAATTGTGAATATAGTGAAAAACCTCATTTCTCCTTTCTCCCCCGTGAGCTCAAAGAAGTCCAGGCAACACTAGCGTGGGGCAGAGCGGCTTGTGGGGTCTGTGCTGGCTTCTTTCTCCGGCTTGCCTTCTTCCTGGGCGGGCTCTAGTCCGTGCCGGCGGGAGTCCTCCTCACTGGAGTCACTGTCCCGTCCACCTTCAACACGGCCAGAGTTCTTGCCACACGAAGACCCTTCACAGGCTTTGTCTGTGGGAACCGCTCCTTTTCGTTGCGGTAAGATGGTGAAAAACGCCTCTTGCCAATCTCTTGTCTCCAGGTATTCCAGAATGATCTCAAACACTGTAATAAAGACACACTCCATACATTGTGTAGCCGAGGTCACCACAATGCTGAATACGATCTTTGAAAAACCTAACACTTTTGTTGCTAGGAGTGCTAATTGGTCTAAAAAACTACTTAGTTTTATCTTTTCTTTCTCCTATGTTCTGAACGTTGGCCCCTCCTCTCTAGTTTCCCCTCAATTTAGTTCCTAAGCATTTGGGGTTTACCACTTCATCCCTAGTGAATTATAATCAAAAGGGAGGACCTTTTCAGCTTCTTTCCAATTACTCTTCGTCCCTTTCACACAGGTGATGTCAGAAAACCAGGAAAAGTACAGACTTAATCTAACCCCCCCCCCCACACACACACACACCATTAAAGAATCACTAACTCTGCGAAGCTTCTTGCTAGTTTTGGTGGGTTTTTTTTAAAAAACATGGGTGGTAAAGAATATTAAAACTGTCTCATAGGTATTTTCACCTTAATACTCTGTTCAAGGTTTACTTTGAATTACTTTGTGGAAAAGTAATTTCCACTATATATCAAGTTTTGTAAGAAGTTCATTCCCTGGATCAATAATAGTCTCATTTCTATAACTCCTTAGGGCCTGCCACAGAGAAAGTATTCATCATATGGCAGCTCAATAAATAGTTGTGTACTGACTAACATAGCTCTCAAATTTAAAAAAAAGCTAACTGCATAGACTTAGGTGCACTATGTCTATTAGTAATATAGCAGAAAAATGGCTATTTATTCAGATGATGAAACAGACTAAATGCCATTAACAAGCATTCAGTAATATGGAAAATATGATAAATGGAAAGTTACAGAATTATAAAACTGTGCAATAGACTTATAATCCAATTAATAAATAATAATATATCTACATAAAAGAACTGGAAGAAAATACACCAAAAAGTTAACATCAAGTATCTCAAAATAATCATTTTTCCTTATACCCTTCTATTTTAAAATTTTTCTCCTAGAATAAGCATGTATTATTCCTGTAATTTGAACAATATATACACACACTTAAATGTATATTTTAACAATATTGTCTACAGAACTATTTCCATTGTCTAAAACGTAACTGGAATGACCTTTTGCAGAGGTATATTATATTTTCATTTTATTCCTTTATCACTTACCATGATTAACTGCCAAAACTTTTCGACTATTCATCTTCACAAAATTTCCAAGAGGGAGCTGTGCATGTTCAATTCCATAATCTGATGCTTGTTTATATGTCAGTCCCTAAAATGAACACACTGTGACTTGAACAATACTTATTGTAAATTGAGGTCAATGATAGTATAAACAACACTGGAAAGAACTTAAGTTCAAAAAAATCTTCTCTAAAGAGTTGTGAGTGTGGGCGTGTTTAATTGCTTTTTGGAACACTCTCTGGAGAATGAGTATAGTCAGGCATTTGGGGTAGCGATTGTTAACTCCTGATTAGCAGCAGCATCTTCTCTTAATTCAGACAGTATTGAAGCATGTGGCTCTGGGCAGTCTGCCAGGTTTTGAATCCCTGCTTTGTCACATACTATTATAGGCTATATGCTTCATTTCTCTGTGCCTCAAACTTTTCATTTGTAAAATGGTGATAACAGGACCAACCTCACTGGGTTTTAGTGAGCATTAAGCAAGCCGATACCATGTGAAGTACTTTGATTAAAAATACAACTGACAATAAAGTACCTTCAATGAAAATCAGCTATCACTGTTATGTGTTGGGTTGCTAACAGCAGAGTCAGCAGTTTGAACCCAGCAGTTGCTCTGGAGGAGAAAGATGAGGCTTTCTGTTCCCAGAAAGATTTACAGCTTCAGAAACCCAGAGGGGCAGCTCCACTCTGTCCTTCAGGGTTGCTATGCATTGGAACAGACTCAATGGTCGTGAGGTTTTTATCACTGGTATTATGGTGACTACTGAGAAGCTCGGACCTATGAACTCGTAAATACAAGCAAAGGGCAAAAATAAAAGCTGACAAGCACCTTGTGATGATTGTGATCTACTAATCCTCCAATCACGTACGCCTTTGATTCATCTAATTTCTTCAGTACATTGGGTGAATCTGATGTAAGATAAATCAGATCTTCTTTCTTTAAGAGTTCACTATAATGCTCTGGCTTGATGTGGATATCCTTTAAGAAACAAGGGGAAACACATTACTAATTAACAGGATTTTGTGGAAGTTAGCAAAAAGTAAGCAATATCTCCCAAGACAAATATATCGAAAAACATAGGAAATGAAATTTGAAAGAGTGGTTATTTAGAATCTACTACCTATCTAATTCTTACTATCTAACTTCTTAATTATTGAAAAAGCCTCTTAGTTTTACTTCCCATCTCTGGTCTTGCTGTTGCTAGGTGCTGTTGAGTTGGGACTGACTCATAGTGACCCTATGCACAAGAGAACGAAATTATTTCTCTGTACTGCACCAGCCTCACAACCACTGTTGAAGCCGCCGCTATGAAAATACACCTCCTTAATGGTCTCCCTTTTTTGGTTGACCTTTATTTGACCAAGTGCAGTGAATTCTTTAATGTGGCTTTGCTAGTCACTGTAATGCCCACCAACAACTTTCTTCTGAGCCATCTAGGCAAGAGAAGGTGGGGAAGATGCTGATAGCACTCTGTTGTACGTGATTGTTAACAGGATTTATTGTGATTGCCATCCTGCCGGGTATCAAGTGAACCATCTCTGAAGCAGGAAGGAGCGATCTCACTAACAGCAAGAGGTAGGAATGGAGTGTGTCCTCTGGACGCTAAAATCCCTGCATAGCGAACCTCTTCGATCCCGAGACAGATGTGACACCACAGGAGCAATAGAGAAGCAGCAGCAAAACAGGAGGCAAAGTATGAGGCAGAATAATGGACTTCCCAGCCCACAAACGAGTACAGCTGAGTAGTACTTGTGGGCAGGAGGCTGGCTTGTGGGGTGCCTCTGGGAACTTCATTTGGTGGGGTGGGTAAGCTGACCAGGGAGCAGGAACTGAGTACCCTCAGGTAAGGCTTATAATGAAGTGGCATGACCTTTGGGCATTTACTACCAGTCCTAAAAGAATTTTATAACATGCCCTGAATAAACAAGTGAGCACTTCTCTCCAGAATTATAATCAGTTGATGTCCGTAATAAATCCCAATCATCTGAGTTCTATGTGGCAATTTCAATGAATTAAAAAACCCACCTACAAAATGGAATACTGACGGGGGCAGACCACCAACCACGAGGCCCTTTCCCAGGGACTGGTCTCTCCTTAACACGTGTCTGAAATACACAGCCAACATCTCATCTTCCTGCTTTCTGAGGGGCACTCTCACTGTACTTCCTCCAACACAGATTTGTGTTTGCTCTCTGGCTGTTCACAACAATCAGGACTCTTCACCAACAGCCTAAGTCACATGCATTCATTCATCATCAGTCTTTCTTCTTCCTTGTTTAATTTTCACATGCACATGAAGCCGTTGGAAATACCATGGTTTGGGTATATTTTTTCAAAGCGACATCTTCATTCTACAACACTTTAAAGAAGTCTTATACAGCTTATTTCCCCAATGTAGTGCGTCATTAGGTTTCTCGACTGGTCCTTCCATGAGCACTGACCGTGGGTCCAAGTAAGATGAAATCTTTGACAGCTTCAATCTTTTCTCCATTTATTATAATGTTGTCTATTGGTCCAGTTGTGAGGTTTGTGGTTTTCTTTACATTGAATTCCAGCCCATTCTGAAGACCCTTGATCTTCATCAAGTGCTTCAAGTCCTCCTTTTCACCAAGCAAAGTTGTGTCATCTGCATATCAGTTTGTTAATAAGCTTTCTTTCAGTCCTAATGCTGCGTTCTTCATATAATCCAGCTTCTCAGATTATTTGTTCAGCATATAGATTGTAAAGTATGAGGAAAAGAAACACCTCGATGAATACCCTTCCTGACTTTAAATCCACACAGTAGTCCCTTGCTTTGAATGAACAATTGCCTCTTACTCTATGCACAGGTTTTGCATGAGCACAATGAAGTGCTATAGAATTCCTGTATTTCTCACTGTTACCCATAGTTTATTATGATCCACAAAGGAATAGTCAATAAAACATAAACATCTTTCTGGTATAAACATCTTTAGCCTCAGACCTCTCCAATCTCCTTCACACACTGATGGAAGATTTAACTTCTAAAAACACCACTTCTAATGTTTTAATTCTATTTGTAGGATAAAATCCAAATGCCTTTAATTTCCTAAATTTGGCATTAACCTACCATAGCAATTTTATTGCTCATAGCTCTAATCCTTTGAAGAAAACAAATGCATTTTTCTTGTTAGACATTTCTTAACCTTGTCATTTAGCAAATAATACCATCTCCAATTATTTCCTCTTCATCTGCTCATTGAAGGCCCTGTTCAAGTTACGTGAGTCAGAAAAATAAAAGATTTATAGATATAATTTGTGTTGGTTTGCAAGTCAGGACTTTGCAAACCATACTGATGCAGGAGAATCGATGCCTCTGAATGATGGTGCTGGTGGAAGATAAGATAGTACCATGGACTGCCAGAAGAACACACAATGCTGTCTCAGAAGAAGTATAGCCACAGTACTCCTCAAAAGCAAGGATGGCAAGACTTTGCCCTATGTACCTTGGCAATGCGATCAGAAGAGATCAGTTCCTGGAAAAAGATACCATGTTTGGTGAAGTAGAAGGAAAGTGAGAAAGTGGAACACTCGGGACAAGATGGAATGACAATGGCTGCAACACGGACCCAACTATACCAGTTATAAGGATGGCGCAGGACCAGGCAGTCTTTCACTAGGAAACATACGGTTGCTAAGTTGGAACGAAGCTGAAGTCACCCGATAACAATACTGATATAGTAACATGTTCAGATGAAATGTACTCAATGATTTTGTGGGAAACCAAGATTAAAGCACCAGAGTTCTTCTAAAAGATATACCCTATTGATTCATAAAGAGCCACATTTCTCAGAGATACCATATTACACATCTGATCCCTTGACTTAGTAAGGGCCTCTAAGGAGGACCTGCATGATAGAGAGCATTTATACTCGTCTGTGGGACACACTGGTGGTATAAATAATTTTGTTATAAATAAGTGAACAGCCACAGAATTACTAAAAGCACATCTATTCTAATATTACATTATTTCTTTAGAAAATAGGAACAAAGATAAATTTGGTAAATATAATTAGAAACTAGAAATAGCTTTTCAAAGTGTTTCATACTATAGGTTATCAATAAAATGAAAATCGTGAGTATGAGAGAAGTTTGGCATTGTAAAATTGGCACTGAGAGGAAAAAAGTTTGAATAGCACCCAGTTTTCAGGGACCGGTAGCAATGCCAATTTTATTAGTCACCCTTACCAATGACTGAGAACAACAGCACAGGCAAAGGTGAGCCACATGCTATCTAGTTACAATTTTCTAATGACCATGGTAAAAAAGGGAACAGTTGAAATTCACTAATACATTTTACTTAACAAAACACAGAGTAATGAACGTCAACATTTTCCTTGAATGATGAGAGACGTCTTACTTTGGTTGTTCTTGTTTAGTACTGAGTATACTAAGTTACTTTGGTTGTTCTTGTTTAGTACTGAGTATACTAAGTTACTTTGGTTGTTCTTGTTTAGTACTGAGTATACTAAGT